CTGGCACTTGTCCATCAGCCCCCGATCGGGATCGGGATCGGGATCCTTCTGGGCCATGGCCGACAGCATTAAGGGACGCGGCGATGCCCATCGCCTGGACACGATGGGCTCCCAGTCGCACACCTCCTCGTCCTCCTCCCTGCCGTCCTCGTGGCTCACCCAGAGCAACAACCATGCGAATATATCCGAGTTGCTGGATAATCTGCTGCGTGGCTATGACAACAGCATAAGACCGGATTTCGGTGGTGAGTATATACTATAAAGGAAGATTTTCTTCACAAGTATGATATATATAAGTATATATATATATTTCATTTTGATTTGTTGGCAAATTGATTAATCATGTTGATTTTATTTACCAAAAGTAAGTCCTTAAAATTACTTTAAAATCATTACAAAATTGGCTTGACAAAATTGTTTATCACTATTTATGCTTTCAAATACAAAGTGGACAGGATATCTATTCAGCCTTTTACATTTAGCTTATTAGAAAATTAGTAAATTTAATATTTTTTGCACTCAAAAAGAAATTTTTGACTAATAAACATTATATATTGAACATGCATTATGATGCATTATTTTGACTATTTATTTATGCATCAAATCATCCTTAAGATAAAGCTATTAAACTTTTTTTTGGTTTTAGGCTATATTTTTTGTTTTAATAATTAATTAAATAAAATAGGCATGAAAGCATGTTGTACTCAATCAAGGTTTGATTTTTTGAGAACTTTGTTGATTTAAATTTGTAAGCCAGAGTTATCATGGCCCCACTGGTTAAGGGCAGGATGCGCCTCCTAAATATTTCTGTCTACAACAAATCTTGCTTTGCTTACCCTTTTCGGGCTTGGCCCTTGTCGGGGGGTGTAATCAGCACAGATTCGCAGATTTTCCGCTCAACGGAAGCATTTAATGAAGTGGAAATCGCTGCCAGGCGACACATCACTCACAAACGGCACCAAGGTGATGAGGCCTGCCGTGATGATTGCCTCGCAGCTTATTCGGTAAATAGTGAGTGTCAAAACCGACAAATATTTACATACAAACAATTTTATTGCGTTCCTTGGATTTCCTCCCCGCCGAGAACTTTGCCCAAAATGGATGGGCCATTCGATTCGTTTTCAATCTTGCAAATGGTCGAAGCAATAAAAATTTAAATATTTTCCAAATTTAAAATACCATTCACTCAATTGGGGGAATGGATTTCGGTTAACGTGGTGAAAATTGTTTTCGCTCGCGCCACAGCTTAAGACCGAATTACATTGTTTTTAACACTTCATTAAGAATGGGCCCTCGTCATCTGGCGCCAGCTGGAGAGGATGAGAGGATGAGAGAATGAGAGGCTTCAAAGGATACGTGGCAATGCACATCCGCATCCTACGAGCGCGACGCATGTTTGCCGAGCGAGCTCAGCAGCAAAGTCATTAAAAACTGTTCGCATAGGCAAAATACAAAAAATTCCCGGGGCCGCCGGGAGGGAGGCGCATCTAGGGCCTGAAAAATTGCATATTAGTGCAGAAAAGCTAGATAAAAATGGGCGTCGGCGGGGCATGGTAACAGATTCAGAGGGTTTGGGACTGTCTGCGAAGCGGCTTAAGTGTCATTGTTCACACAGAGGAGCATTTAACATTTTCATTTGGGGTCTGCGACTCATATATGAATATTCATAGTTGAACAAAACCGATACGTAGAGCACTGGGATTATATAGTTGGATTTCGTGGCCTTCAGTTGAACGCAATCCCATTTTCCATAACTAAACTTGGCTCTGGCTTAAATAGCGAATTTCATGGGACTTGTATAATAGGTAAAGGTTTGCGGGCCACTTAGCCAGGAATTTAGCGGAAATAAAATAAAATTATTGTTATTTTTTCATGACAAAGAAATATTGTATTATTTTTAATTTTTATATTAAAATTTAAATAAAATGTTACAGGACCTCCAGCTACAGTAGAAGTGGATATAATGGTGCGCAGCATGGGACCAATATCAGAAGTCGATATGGTATGTTAATAAAAGAATTTCTATTTAAACCAAATTCTTCTATGGACAACATCATTGATTTATTTGTAAAATTGGACCATGGCCAAAGATATATGAATTTGATTATTATACAAAAAACAAAACAACGATATAAATAATTAAACACAATGCTCTTAAATATTATTTTTCTTAATTTTACTAAAAAGGAATTTTTTAAACTAGTTTCAGGACAATAAAATTGGTTTTAATCTAATTGTATTCAAATGTGAATTCAACTAGCTTTCACACCATTTAGATTCAATTTATAAGTCCCACAGTATTGGGGTATAAAACACCGTCGTATATGAACTGGCAATCTTCCATTACTCCCTGCTTGCCAATTCAATTTGGCGTGACATATCCTGTTTGACTGCCTTACTTTCCTGCGCCTCTGACTCCGTTTCCATCTCCATTGCAGACCTACTCGATGGACTGTTATTTTCGCCAATCCTGGGTGGATAAACGTCTCGCGTTCGAGGGGGCCCAGGATACACTGGCACTGAGCGTCTCGATGCTGGCCCGGATTTGGAAGCCGGATACGTACTTTTACAATGGCAAGCAGAGCTATTTACACACGATTACCACGCCAAATAAGTTTGTGAGGATCTATCAGAACGGACGCGTGCTGTACTCCAGCCGGCTGACAATTAAAGCCGGCTGCCCGATGAATCTGGCCGACTTCCCCATGGACATCCAAAAGTGTCCCCTGAAATTTGGCTCATGTGAGTAGGAAAGAAATTCGAAAGAATGCCAAGTGGCATGTGGAAACCAGAACTACGCTAAATAATTATGCATAATGGCTGCTCATTGCGCTTTGATGTGATTTGTTGTCCTCGTGTCGACAAAATGTCCACTTGTTGGGTTCGAAGGACAAAGACGCAGAATCTGGCTGGGGGATTATGCTGAATGCCATGACATTGGATGGGATGGGATTGGATTGGGTTGAATGAATTGTTGGCGACAAGAAATGTGAAGTGAGATGTGTTCTGAATTGAAGGGGAAATGAAAGAAAGAAAGAAATGGCACAAGGACCGGAAATGTTTAAGTGGTTCCATGCGTCTGAATGCTGGAAGCGGATTAGATGAGGTAATGGTTTAATGGGATATCCTAATGTGGTTTGACAAGTTTCGCTTTCCCCTTGCTTACTGTGAAGAAAATGGTAAAATTTAAAGGATGGGATTATAGTTTTCAAACAATATAATATATTTATTTTGCTCCTATATAGTTACGTTTATTTGAACGGAATCTGAAAGCTAAAAAGGCTTGAAATGATAAAAAATTTATTTAGTGTTTTTTAATGTTCTATCTGGCATACGTGTCGTATGATTAATTTTTTTGAAAACCATAACTTTCCAAACTAAGCGATGAGAATTAAATTTCTCTATATATTCTTAAAATTTTTAAAGACTTTAGCATTCTTGGAACACCATCTTTAATATAGTGCCGGATTTAAAGGCGGTCCCCACTTAAAAAATAAATGTTTTTTAAATAATTGTTGTTATGTGGAGCGTGATGCTAGGTCATTTGGGTATAATTTAAGGAGTCTGTAATGAGATGACTGAAAGCGGGTCTGGCCAGTGTAAAATGTAAGTAGGTGCAAGTGTTGAAAAGGGGGAGTAACGTGTCATTAAGGAATACTCTTACAATAAAATAAAAAGCCGGCCCAACTTAAGCATTTTGTGTGCAAAAATGTGACTGCGGCGCTTTTGTCCGTGCTGACTCATACGCGCCTCTTTTGGGTCCATTGTTTAGAAGTATGTAAGTATTCTTGTAATTGGTCTGTAAATTCGTATATGCATTTAGCGCATGTCGCCAGTGTGCGAGTAGCCGCCTATTAAACTTGGTTGGGTCCGAGGTGAAAATAAAGTAAGGTAATGGCCCCAGGTCGCATCCTTGAGTTGCACCGGCATGCTTAGGGTGTTTGGTGAAAGTGCAGCTGTCCACAAGTACAGAAAATGTGCGGTCCGCCTAGATTTGTATAAAAGTCCTTCATGCTGTTTAGTTGTTTCATGTGCTTTTGTAAATCCAAATCGGTGATGGGGGATAGTGTGCTTAAAAATGTATGATCAAGTGAAAGAGACGCGCTGGATATTTTGTTTTAATAGAGGCTTAAATTTAAGGCGAAACAAGAAATGTTTTCGAAGAGGGTTTTTATGTTGCTTCAAATATATCTTTATATCTTTGATTTATCAAATTCAATGTTTATTTTTCAGAATTTTTGATTATTTTAATTAGTGTAAAAATATATTCAAATTTATTTAGTCACTGGCTAAGGCCATATACCAGACATATATTTATAGACCAATCGGCTGGATATCTGTACTACCTATGGGCCATAGTTTTAAGGTTCCAGACAAACACAGATGTGACCCTTGGGAATACCTATGGCTTTTGTTCCACTTACAGCTGGTTTTTGCTAGCTTAGACGTAATTGGAATTTTTATTTTTAGCAAACCCAAAACACTTCACGTTCTTTATTTATACATACGTCATCTCACAATAATTAGATTGGGCGCGCTAGGTAATTGTTGCCAATGGTTTTCACTTAAAAGATACAAAAATTATTTAAATTATTTAAATTTCTTAATTTTTTTAAATTCGACAATGCACCATTGTACTTACATATATTACAATATAATATAATTAATTATAAGCTCAATAAAATACTGTTACTTTACTTTTTTAGTAAGGGTATGGATAAAATATTGTATTTTACCTTTAAATTATTTTTAAATATGTTCCATTTAACTGAACCAAAGTTGTATTTGTTGCTATATTTAGATATAGACAAAATTTTAAAAACTCTGTGATTGCGACTAACAGCTGCTTAGAGCCTTTTTAAGTGCTTAACCATTTTCCCTGTTGTGAACAGAATTTTTTTTAGCACCAACTTGTCTAAGTTGGAAGGGGTTTAATCTTCCTCTTGTGAATTAAACCAATTCAGAGTTGCAATTGGATTTTGTGAGGAATATTTTTCAAATAATGTTCGATTGATTTATTTTGAATAACTAACAGCTGGAGTTAAAAGGCAAATGAGCTTCGTTTTCGTCTGCGAGTTTCAGTTGGCCGTTCTGCGAACTCGGACCACAACCCTTCGGCGGTTGACTCCGGTCCCAGATTGTCCTGCACCACCGCGACGGTTTCCCCTGCCTCCTCGTCGGATGACCACTCGCCTTATGATGACACGACGTCGTCGGTGCTTCTTCTTGGTGGAAGCCGTGGTGGTAGTGGAGGAGGATTCTGTGGTGGTGGTAGCCGAGGCATCGGCTGTCGTGGTGGCGGAGGCAGCCGTTGTGGTGGTGGTGGCTGAGGCACTGGTGGTGGTGGTCGTTTGGGCGGAGACTTGGCTGCTCTGGAGGATGAGCACGGCCAGGACGACCAGGGACAGAGCTAGGAGGAAGCGCATGGCGATGGTGTTCTTAGTGGATAGGGAACTGATGTCAATGGACAATTCGGCTGGATATTTATAGTAACCATGAGCCGAAAAAAAGGTGTAAGGGTTCGTGCAAACACAGATGTGTCTCTTGAAAATATCTACGGCTTTTGTTTCAGCTACAGTACCTTTGCGTACGTATCGTTCTTTGTTAGATATGTTTACACCAGTCTAAACGTAATAGGAATTTTGAGCTCCTATTTATTCTTCCATAAGAAAAACAAAATTAATTGCCCAGAATTTATTTTTGGAATTTTACCAGCAATGTACCGCTTAATAACAATATTCCAAAAAAACCTCCATCGCCCCCGCCAGATTCTGTGACAGTTTTTGTCCTGCCCATGTAATCTCCATTATTTTCCATTTAAAAATGGAAAAAATATACACCTCCTGTCATTTAATGAATTCTCGTCACATTTCCTCCTATTCAAATGCAGAACAGAAAGCATGAAGGCAAAAAGTTACTAGTTTAATATTTGGAAACAATTTTTGGAGATAGGCAGGTGTCTGCTGCCATTTCTCTGAAACCCACTAACTGCCTTTGCAGCTTATCGCAAATGAACAAGCCGCCACCCAACCTAGAAATGTATTATTACTTCCGATTTGTTGTGAATAATGCTGGATGGAAGCAGTCAAGAATTCAATTACCCCTCCATCAGTCCCCTGCTCCCCCATATGTACATTGCCTGCCACTTAATGTTGACAATTTCCCATTTGATGCGGGCGAACTGAAAATATTGCCAGCGCCAGAGTCAGCGATTGCCAAACAGAAGGAGCAGATTCAGGCGATGGTTTGGAGGATGGAGGATGGGAGATGCGGATTTGGGTGGTGGGTAAACCTTTTCCCACATATGGCACAATGTTTGGCAATTTGTGCATTTTGGAGCAGCGGCATCACCAGCAGCATCAAAATAAAATAACTGAACACACGTGGCTGGGATGGGATAGGTTAGCGAGATAGCTGCTGTAAATGATTGAATATAAATGGATATACTATATATTCTAGCAGTGAAACATCGTTTTAGAAATATATAGTAATATTAGCTGATTTTGATAAATCATATTCGGTAGGCTAGTCCATAATAGCTTTAAATATATATTCTCTGCAAGGGTACTCCCCAATACATCTCATCCTGTCGATATAAAATTGGCAAACAAATGAAAGTCACGGCTCAGGGCACTCCTGAGTTCCGCATGCCAACCATTTAATTGAAATTTGTGCACGATTTGTTGCATTAATTTGTAAATCAATCGAAACAGTTGGCTACACCACGGCCGATGTCATCTACCGCTGGAACAAGGAGCGACCCCCCGTCGCCATAGCCGAGGACATGAAGCTGTCCCAGTTCGATTTGGTCGACTGTCCGGCTGGCAATTTGACCGACATTGTGTACAAGGCGGCGGCTCCAAGGCCGCAGCGACGACCCTTCAACAACAAGGACCCACCGCGACCCACCAGCAAGGTCCTCACCACTTTCGCTGGTCCGGCGGCAAAGAATCAGCATGTCCGTGGCACAGGACTCAAGCTGGACAAGGGAGCCTTCGGAACCGGACGGGATACCGCCGGCGGAGCGGGTTCCTCCACCGGTTTAAGTGGCACCATCACTCTGGAGACCAATCACCCATGTAAGTAATAATTGCGGAATTATGGAATTATATAGATCTGATTCAGTTTAAGCTAAATGAAGTGAGAACGAGAAAAATACATATTATTTTTAACAAAAATTATTATTTTTTGTTTTATATATACAAGTATACATAAAAATAATAAAAAAAATTAAATCGACTAATACATCTGTTGTGTAATAACTTAAACAAATATATCTTAGTTCCGCTGCCACCAGTTTATAAAATCAACCTCATTGTTTTTCAGCGGAGTACTCAATGCTGATGGTGAACTTTCACCTGCAGCGGCACATGGGCAACTTCCTGATTCAGGTGTACGGTCCCTGCTGCCTGCTAGTCGTCCTCAGCTGGGTGTCCTTCTGGCTGAACCGCGAGGCCACCGCGGATCGGGTGTCCCTCGGGATCACCACCGTGCTGACGATGACCTTCCTCGGACTGGAGGCGCGCACGGATCTGCCCAAGGTGTCCTATCCCACGGCCCTCGACTTTTTCGTCTTCCTCTCGTTCGGCTTCATCTTCGCCACAATCCTGCAGTTTGCCGTGGTGCACTATTACACGAAGTACGGATCGGGGGAGTGCTACTTCATTATCGAGGAGCTGGACTCGGATTCCGGGGAGTCGGAGACGGAGGCGCTGACCTCGGACTTCCGGGACAGCACCGAGTCCAAGATCTACGAGGTCATTCCGCTCTCCATGTGCGCGATCAGTATGCCGCCGCCGCCCAGCAGCCGGCTGGGCATGCTGACCTCCAGGAATCGCGGCCCACGGAACAGACGACATGGCCTGTGGAGCATGAAGCTCCTGGGTCTCTTCGACTGGCGGCGCCGAAGAAAGCCGCCCCGGGTCGACTCCGACGAGGAGGAGGACGACGAACAAACCCAGCTGAGGGTCAACGAGGCTCCCAGCACTTCAGCAGCTGCTGCTGCTGCTGCTGCGGCGGCGGCGGCACAGGCGGCTCGGATTAGTCCGCCAACTGGAGGTCGCCGCAGGATGTCCTACTATCGACGCGAGGAGATGGAGGCCCGCAGGAAGGGCAAACGAACGCCACAGTACAACTCAGTGTCGAAGATCGATCGCGCCTCGCGAATCGTCTTCCCGCTGCTCTTCATCCTGATCAACGTGTTCTACTGGTACGGCTATTTGTCGAGGAGCTCCCGGATTCTGGCCAACACGCCGGACGCGAGCACCTGATGTTACCTTTTAGCAATTTAGACAGGGTCCTCGAAGAAATCAGTAAGCGATCGCCGGCAGCGAACAGACAACTAAAGTTGGCGTGCAAACGATGCATCAGCAGCCTGGCAGCGCATAAGCCGTACTGCTGCAGATGCATCGTTTACAACCAGCCGAAGACAATGCGTGGGGGGAAAATCGTTTGGGGGTTTTGGGAAAAGCAGGGAATGGGTTTAACTTTTCAGATTCAGTTACGCTCTTATTCTGATTTGCTACCACACGTGACAACGCTTTATGAGATTTCTTTTCGCTCTAAATTGCTAAAGTACAGAAAACAGAACTCAACTCTAACATATCAGAGGACTTGCTATAACGGACACCCTCGAAAATATCGAGCTTTAACAGTCAAAATATTCTGGGAAAAATTTCGAAAACATGTGATTGACTTTTCTAAAGTAATCTTCTTGAAAATCTATAGCCCTTTATTTAGAGAAAACAACTAAGAAAATTAGATATTCTGTGATACTTGCTTTCCTTGTTTTGACAATTAGTTGCTGAATGCCCGGGGTGTCCTGTAAATTTGTTGTACAGCTAACCAATAAGTTAATTAGTTTACATTTTTGTGTATTTTAAATGTTTAATGTTAGTTTGAAAGTCACAGCACAAGGAATTTGCACTTAGTTGAAAGATTTGTTTAGTTCACTGCAAATTATAACTTAAGCATGGGATCACCAAGAAATAGGGAAAAATGTTAGGAAATTGCCGTCTCTGCTTTTCTGTCCCGGCAAGTAATAGATGATAAGCTAATATTTCAATAAGTCACGCAGCCTATATTGTTAATTCGTAGAATAATGAACGGGTCTGAAATTTATCTAGTGACGTGTATAAGATGTCCCATTCCGAAACGTCCACTGGAAAAAATTATTAATATTTGGAAATGTTTGTTTTCAAAGTATTTTAATTGTCTCCTATAAAAATTTACATTATGTTCAAACAAAGTTCTCATTATATTTGGTAAACTAAGATAGTTTGGTCATAGATAACTCTCCGGTCCTGGAATTTTTCAATCACTCTAATATATAACGAAAGTACCCAGCAGAGAGTGTTACTTGCCGGCAGATAAAATATGTACAACTATGTGTAGACACACGAACTAAAGCCAAATAAAAGTCGAACTAAGAAGTTGATAACGAGTTGATAGCTGCACGGGAATCGGGTGGATTAACGGCTCACAAATGGGGCAGCAAATCGGCCAGTCGGGGCAGATAGAAATCTGGCTGGGCAAGCTTGCCTTTTTCCCGTCGCACATCCGAGAGATTACTGTATCGACCAGTGCCCACCAGAAGCGACAGCATGCCACAATTGCTGGCGAAGCCGACATCTATTTTGAGGCTGCAAACGAAGACAGCGAAATACAGCGTTAGAAGTGTCCCCAAAGGATGTGTTAATCCCGCTTACCAGTCACCAATCATAAGTGTTCGCTCGGTCCGCAGTTCGCCGGTCTTAGTGAGCGGCTCGAGGACCAAAGGGTTCGGCTTGCCCATCTCGAGCGGCTCTCGCTCCGCACAGGCCTCGATGGCGGCCACAAAGGCTCCAGTGCCGGGGATGCAGAAGGCGGGATACTTGTGCACGGCATCCCGGTTGGTGACGAGGAAGGCGGAGTGGGGATTGCTGCACAGGATGTGACAGGCGCGGGCCATCTTGCAGTAGCTGAAGTACTCATCCCAGCCGACCACCACGGCACCCACATCTTTGGCCGCCTCCGGGTTCCCCAGTTCGCGAGCCACAAAGTCCGGCCACATGTCGCCCGGAGCCAGTTGCTCCGCCTCCCCGGCTCCGAAACTGTCGATGCCGTGCTGCCTTAATTCCCGGGCAATGGCCGCATTGCCCACCACATAGACCTTGTGCCGGGCTCTGTCGAAGTCCGGACTCTCGACCAGATAGTCAGCAATAGCGGCCGTGGGCGACATGATGTATCGGTCGCTGGGCAAATGAAATCCCAGTCGCTGGGAGCGCTCAAACAGCTCCTGGCGCGTCTTCAGTCCGTTGTTGGTAATCAGGTAGACTTTTTTGCCCCAGCGCTGCTGCAGGGCATTCACGACATCCGGAGCACCCTCGATGGCCGTGTCGTCCTGCCAAATGGTGCCTGTGCGTCAAATGGATATTTAATATGCTTTGTAACTGTGTACATTTTGGCAATCTCACGCATTATGTCAACAAAAAAAATCTATTCCAGGATCCTATATTAGTTGGTAATTAGTTTTTGACAAAACATCATTTAGGATTAAAGGGTTACAACTAAACATATTATTTTTATTCTTTTTTATACATTTTTACTAAGTCACTTCTTGTTGACTAACTAAAATAATTGATTTAAAAAAAAAAACAGAATTTAACTAATTTAAAATTTGTTTATAATAATAATATTAAGCTAATGCTGGCATAGTTTTTTATAATTTAGAACAATATAAATATTTCCATTTAACAGCAATTAAATTTGAAATTAATAAGCATTTGTAATAGTAAATGCTAATGATAAGAAAATTATAAATTGAACAATATTGTTTTTCCCAGGGACAGCCTTTTGAAATTCTTGTATTTAATTATCTAATTGAACATTAACTTTGAATAACGGTGATCGCATAAGCTTTTCCCTCACCCATGTAAGCTACCAGCGATATTTGGCCTAGTATTGCGGGGAATCGACAACCCTGGCGAAAGCTTTGAACTTGTAAACACTCCGCGGCGCTCTCATGTGCCACCTTTACCGCCCTTCAAACTCACCGTCGCCGTCGCAGAGAATCGTGTCGAAACTTTGGAGCCACTCGCCCACCTGCCCCCCGGATAGGTCCGCCAAGTTGATAGCACCGCCTCTGGACATGCTGCTCCGTAGACCGCTCCGCCAAATGTTTGCGACTCGACTAAATCGGCGATGGACTGACTGAATCCAACTCACGATGATGGGGGAGAACCTGCTATCTCACTCGCGCACAAAGCTCGTTTGGAACGACACAATGAGTCGGGCATATCGATTGAGTCGTTCCGTTCGTCTGGCAAAATGCTTCTCAATTTATTTAAATATTTTATTTTGTGGTATAAATTGTACTATACATTTTCGTAAGGTATTTATATTTTTTCCTGTCTATGGCCGGGCGAAGGTAACTGCAATACAGACACATGTCCGTACTACCATACTGGCTACTGATTGGCGATCCGCATCTCAATCATTTCGAACCCGCCAGGTGGTCCACAATCGCTGGCAGCAGATCCCCCAACTTGGGCAGGTACACGTCTGGTATGAGTTTCTTGTCCTCGGGGTTCTTGCTCAGCTTCCACTGACCCACGTCCTTCAGCTGATGTATGCCGGAGCCCACGAGCAGGGTCTGGAACCCGCAATTGTAGCCAAGCAGGATGTCCGTATTGGCGCGATCGCCGATCATCAGGGTCCTCGAGGGATCGATCTTCTTCTGGCTGACCAGTGACTCGCAAATCGCCGGGTTGGGCTTCCCGATCACTATGGGCTCCCGTTCCGCACAGGTTTGAATGGCCCGCACGAAGCTCCCGCTGCCGGGCACTATCATGTTGGGCATGGGAAAACGCTCATCCGTGTTGGTGGCCACGAACAGGCACTCCGGATCGTTCAGGTACGAGGCAGCCTTCATCATCTTGGGGAAGCTAAAGTGCTCATCGAAGCCCACGACTACGGCTCCGATGTCCGTGTCCAGTTTTAAATGCTGCGCCATGAACTCGACCAGCGATCCTTGCATGGGTTCCGGCCCCACCTGGGTGTGCTTAATGCCCACGGCGTCCAGTTCCTTGGTGATGCCTTCGCTTCCGATCACGAATACCCGCTTGCTGAAGTTGCGACGCTTTAGGTACGCCGCTGTGGCATGGGCCGTGGATATAATGCCGTTCTCCTTGATGTGGAAGCCCAGTTCGACGCCCTTCTTTAGAAGTTCCGACCGGGTCTTCGTCGAGTTGTTTGTGCAAAAGTAAATGGACTTTCCCATGGCCTTGAACTGGTTCATCACATCCGCCGAGCCTTCCAAAGCCTTGCCATAGATCCATAGAACACCTTTGCGTGGGAATAGTAAAAGCCGTAATTGGATAAACAATCCTTCCCTATTTTCAAAAATGTAAACTTTTCTCTACCTATCCATCGATTTAATTTTTCATCCTCAATATTTAGTTTTTGCCAACTCACGTTAAGTTTTTTAAATACTTATGCAAAGAAAGTTAGTCATAATGAAATAAAAAATAAAAAAAAATCCCGTTTTCAAACGAAATACAATGTTAAATAGTTAAAATGTTAAAAATGTTTATAAAATTGTGTTAATGGATTTGATTCAGCTTTTGTTGAAGTAAATTGCATAGAATTTCAGAGTTTATTTTAAAACCGTGTCCAACGAACATTTATTTTTTTTTCTCTTCATATTGAATTAATAAAGTTCGAAAATAAAGTTGTTTAATTCTTTTACATATCATTAAAACTATCATGTCATAAACTTTTCTTTCTGTGTAAGAACTCTAAGTTGACCTAATGATTTCAAAAAACCAATCTGTAATTATGAGGGCATCCGAAAGTCGACTTGCCAGTCATAAATGTCATGCATTTCACTCTTTGACATTGAAATTGGCGACTCAGCAAGAACACGACCGATTTTTGGTATACGCATATGTATATTTATGTAACGCAACTTCCTAGAGGGGAAGTCTTCCATGACCGGGGAACACCCCACACACACACACACACACCCATAGCCACCCACTTACCATCGCAATCGGTTATAACGGAGTCGAAACTCGACATCCACTCGTTCACCTTGGCGGAGGACAATTCCAGGAGATTGGTGCACGTCTGTTTGTACATGTTTAAAACTGACTTTCGCGAACAGGTGGCGAAGTTACAACTCATTTATGGCTTTACAAATACGGCTATCTTTTATACATCACTTTTAATTTATTAATTGGCTCTCGATTGCGAGGAACTCCCTGAGAAATAAAGCAGCTGTTTTGGGGCCTGTAGAAGCTATGTTACTAGCTGTCAGATTTTGTCGAATAACAGTATGGGCCCATGTTAAAGTTAACAGAGTACTAACAAGTGTTAAGCGCCAGCTTTGAATCCCCTGCTCACAACTATACAATAAACTATTAAGAGATATGTATAATAAGCATACATAAATATTTTAGAAATATTATACTATTTTCAAACTCCAATTGATTTAATTTGTTTAAACTAAACATAATTTATCAAAAAAAAAAAAGATTTATTTTTTCAATCCCCAATAACCACCAAACTCACACATTGATCATTTGTATGCTTGTTTATTGTTTTATGCGCCTAATCACTAAAATTAATTACTTATAGTACAGGCATTTTTATTTTGTTGAATCTCAGCTTTCTTTTGTGTTTTTAAACTTGCTGGAAGAACAAACCATTGCAGAAATATACTTGAAATACTGACCCTACAAATTACAAGGTTGGTGAGCAAAAAAAAGGTTGCGAAAAAGCGCTTTTGTGGTGGGCAGGCAGGGTTTTGGGTTTTTGTGGGGGGGAAGAGCTGGAATCGAGAGCGAAAACGTTTTGCGTGCGTTTTGTACCATAACTTGCATTTAAATAAATCTCATTAAGCTAGCGCGAAAAGAACGAACGAAAAATTGTTGGCTAATTACAGAAATAAACTATTTTACAGTTACAATAATCATAAATTAATAACTAGACACGAAACGTTATCGAGAAAATTGCATTAAGAGGACCGCCACTGGTCCGTCTGCTGATTTTTTGTGTCGCCATCTGGGGTGCGTCTGCTGATGAGAGGTAATGAGCCAAGTCTATTTTGCTAAAGGATCCTGCCTAGAACTGCGACATAAGCAGGCTGCCCCCGCCGCCGCCACTCCCCACGCCCCCGCCTCCCCCTCCGCCGACTCCGCCTCCCGGACCGCCGCTCGTGCCCAGCACAGATCCGAGGAGACTGCCGCTTGTCATCTGCTGCTGCTGCATGGGCATCTGCTGCTGCTGTTGCTGCATCTGCATGGACGAGGAGAAGCTGTTCATGCCGCCGACAACGCCGGGACCCATGCTGGCCCCCAGGCTGGACAAACCGGGGCCAGGACCTCCGGCCAGCGACCCCAGACTGGTGGCGCCCATGACACCCGCTGCTCCGCCCAAGCCCGCTCCTCCGGGCAGCAAACCTACGCCCGGCTCCGGACTCTGGTTCTTCTTTTTGCGCTTCTTCTCCTTTTTACGCTTCTTGCGCTCTTTGTCGTCCTCGTGGCGCTTCTGCTTCTTGTGCTTCTTCTCGTAAGTCTCCAGGCCGGCCGAATCTGTAAGATTGGAATCATTTGGTTAGGCACGGATCATGATGAGCCAGTATCAGCGGACAACTTACCCAGCAACGTGGATTCCTGTCCCGTGGTAACGCCGTCTTTGTGTTTGTGCTTTTTGTGTTTGTTTTTGTGTTTTCGCGCAGGTGTGACATATGTGGTACGATACTGTTCCGGCAGCTACAAGGAAATCGGAATCGGTTAAACTAGCAAAGATGCAAGTACAAGGTTTTCAAAAATGATATTGAACATATTTAGTAACGCTTTAAAATTAAATTAGTCGTTGATTTTTAGGACACGTACTTTTTTCAATGTAACCCAATAACTGTTACCAACTTTCAGGTTAAATCAAATTGTAAGAAAAATAGGTTTCAGAGATTAACTGGTAGAAAACTTATGCACAAATCATCCAAATTTACGACTAATCCAAGGCGGAGTAAGTAATTATTAAAGACATTTTAGACCTGTGCAAGTAAAACAGTAATAAAATCATATAAGGGGCACCAACCGGTCCGGGATGTAGGCGGAATCCGGCCAGCTGCACGGGCGTCAGCGGGAGGAGCTCCTTACCGCCGATCGGCGGCTTCTCGATCACGCTCCGCAGCGTGCTGTTCTCGACGGGATGCGTGATGAGGTCGTTGATGCCGGGGATGTTCTGCAGGAACGAGGCCAGCGACTCCTTGAACTTCTTCTCCTTGAACTTGGTGAGTGTGTGGTGCAGTCCGTACTCGGTCATGAGATCCTTGTCGCCGGTGAGTTCAGCCTTGGCGGGCGGCTCCTTCATCGAGTAGAAGGGCCCGGTGTGGATGATCGTGGGCGTTTTGCCCAGCGAAATGGTCGTTTTCAAGGTACCGGAAGAGTCCTGGCGGGCGACCACGGGGGATCGGCCGCCGCCGTGGGGCGATGACTTCGGGGAGTCCATCATGTTGCCGTAGTTGCTCATCATCTTGGAAGTGGCGGAAATCAAGCGATTCTTGGCAATCTTGGCAGCCCACGCACACACTCGCACCGCGCACACAAACAGGCGCAGCAACAACAAGGCAAGGCCAGCAGAAGGTACGCCGTTCGCGACTCTCGGGCAACGCCGGCCAAGCTCACACTCTGCAAAATGCGCCGCGTTGGCCCGGCACTTCGGCGGACACTTTTCTGGTCGAATACTCAATTAACTATCTGTTCTTGTGGCGTTTTTTAACAGATTTCGGGGGCAAGTCTCGCCATCTTGTTGTGTCCGCGAACCAGTGTGACCGCATTGCGACAGCTAGCGAAAAACTGAGGCTACGGCGAAAACGCGAGGCGAACGCACCAAGAAAATACCAAAAGTATGCTGGAAATACTGCAAGTGGCGCATACCAAACAGAGTTGTATTGCATGTTATCGAATATTCATCGCATATAAAATCTTTATTTTGTATGATTAAACAAATAATTTAATTTTAATATTACCATAATGTATGATAAATAAATTAACAAGGAGATCAATTGCATACTTATAAATACATTTACTAGTGTTCATAATGTGCTTAATCAAATTTACTGTGGTTAATTGAAAGGTGCTCAATCAAACGGCCAAAAATGTAAATTTCATTAACAAAATTTGTTGCAAAGTCAATCCTTACAATAATGCTATCAAAATAAGAAAAACAGGTTTTATTAATCTTCAGAGTATAGATATTTTTTATTTATCGAACAATATATATTTACGTAAGCTGGTTGATGTTTAAAAAAAATTTGTATGTATATGTTTTCTAAGCTTATTGCTTAACATCATATTAGATTAAAAATTAAATGCAGTTGTATAAAATACAATAGAGTGGAAATCTACTCAAAACTATCGACTAATCGATGGCCATCATATGACCACAATCGAGTGCGATTCGCCAGCCCTGCGACCGCCCCGCTCTCCACAGCACGGAAAACAGTCGGAAAAACACATCAAATTAGTGTTGTGTTTGTAGTTAAATAACGATAATCCTCATAACTCGCCCACACCAGCCATGCAGTCCACGCTTCGTCATGTTGTGTCGGCAGTAGCCAAGGTAAAAATCGGGCGATGCAGCAGATTCACCAATCGTTTTTCGCCCCCGAAGTTATGCAATCTAACCTCACCGAGGGGGTCGCAAAATGGGCAGGAAAAGCCTGGAAAATGCATTGGTATCCTCTGCAGTGCTCATATGATCGCAGTGGCTGAATCACTGGCGACTTAAGGGATTTGTTTGGCCCCGTTTTCAAGGTCGCTAATTGGGCCAATTATCAGCTGATATGCGGCCGGAGATTAGTGCTGACTGCTTGCGATTGGCGTGATGAACGATAAGGCCCCAGAACCATTAGTAATGCCCTATCTTTCCAGACTCCTCTGCGCACCAATGCCGCCATTCTGGGTGCCCTCAACGCACGCTGCTACTCCAGCACGCACGAGGCAGACATCGTGGTGATCGGTTCCGGACCTGGTGGCTATGTGGCCGCCATCAAGGCCGCCCAGATGGGCATGAAGACGGTCAGCGTGGAGAAGGAGGCCACTCTGGGCGGCACCTGCCTCAACGTCGGCTGCATTCCGTCGAAGGCACTGCTGAACAACTCCCACTACTACCACATGGCCCACTCCGGCGATCTGGAGAGCCGCGGCGTCAACGTCGGCAGCGTTAGCCTCGATCTGGAGAAGCTCATGGGTCAGAAGTCGAACGCTGTGAAGGCCCTGACCGGCGGCATTGCCATGCTCTTCAAGAAGAACAAGGTCACACAGCTGACGGGCTTCGGCAGCATTGTCAACCCCAACGAGGTGCAGGTCAAGAAGTCCGACGGCTCCACGGAGACGGTGAAGACCAAGAACATTCTTATCGCCACCGGATCCGAGGTTACCCCCTTCCCGGGCATTGAAGTGAGTGCAAAAAACTTGAAAAACAGCTGGAATACTTGTATTACCTTATCGTCATTCTTTACAGATCGACGAGGAGGTGATTGTGAGCAGCACTGGCGCCCTGAAACTGGCCAAAGTGCCCAAGCACATGGTTGTCATCGGTGCCGGCGTCATTGGCTTGGAGCTGGGCTCAGTGTGGTCACGTCTGGGCGCCGAGGTCACTGCCATCGAGTTCATGGACACGATCGGCGGCGTGGGCATCGACAACGAGGTCTCCAAGACCTTCCAGAAGGTGCTCACCAAGCAGGGCTTGAAGTTCAAGCTGGGCACCAAGGTGATGGCCGCCTCGCGCAGCGGCGACAATGTCACCGTGTCGGTGGAGAACGCCAAGTCCGGCGAGAAGGAGGAGATCCAGTGCGACGCCCTGCTGGTCAGTGTGGGACGTCGTCCCTACACCGAGGGTCTGGGTCTGGAGGCTGTGGGCATTGTCAAGGACGACCGCGGCAGGATTCCCGTCAACGCCACTTTCCAGACGGTGGTGCCCAACATTTACGCCATTGGCGACTGCATCCACGGACCCATGCTGGCGCACAAGGCCGAGGATGAGGGCCTAATCACCATCGAGGGCATCAACGGCGGCCACGTCCACATCGACTACAACTGCGTGCCCAGTGTGGTCTACACGCATCCCGAGGTCGCGTGGGTGGGCAAGAGCGAGGAGCAGCTGAAGCAGGAGGGCGTTGCCTACAAGGTGGGCAAGTTTCCTTTCCTGGCAAACTCGCGTGCCAAGACCAACAACGAAACCGATGGTTTCGTCAAGGTTCTGGCCGACAGTGCCACCGACAAGATCCTGGGAACTCACATCATTGGACCTGGTGCCGGCGAGCTGATCAATGAGGCTGTGCTGGCCATGGAGTACGGAGCAGCAGCCGAGGACGTTGCCCGCGTCTGCCATGCGCATCCAGTGAGTGATCAACAACCAAATAACTTGCATAACTTAAAATTCACTTTTCCATTGAAGTAAAAGTTTAATAACTTTTACTTGAGGCTTCAATGAGCTTAAATATTCAGAAACGAAAAGTGTTTAGTTTTGAGTGATGAAAGTTATGGCCTTAATCATGTTTAACCTGAGCTAATATATCTAATTATTTTATTTTTCAGACCTGTTCCGAGGCCTTGCGCGAAGCAAACGTTGCGGCTGCATTCGGCAAACCCATCAATTTCTAAGCACTTTTCAATCCCTGCCAGCTTTTGGAGAATTTTGCACCGTGTTTGAAATCTTTGAAAAAAACCCCAAATCGAAAATTATCCTGACAGCCGAAACGAAAGTCTCCGCATATTTGTTACTCTCAATGTAGGAAACAGTAAAGTGGAAAATATAAATATTGGTAATGGCGCCAGGCGTTAATTGCAATGTAATATGTGTATTAAGCTAGAATAAATACAACACAGTTTGAAAACTCGAAACTCAAGGCGTTCAATAGAATAATGGTTTTTCAATGTCTTAAGATGTTCTAGTAACTACCAATAAAGCTAAAGAAAAGCCAACTGAAGTTATGTGGCGAATTATCACCGGTAAATAATTGTATTAATTAATTTATTTTTGAAACAAGGCATTTGAAAATAAAATACAAACATTATTTTCTTTTACTCTCTGACATGTTAATAATAATTTAAGAACAGTAGCCAAAAGTTAAAAAAAAAGCTATTATTAGAGATTCAGCGGAAAACTTTCAGACCCGACATCACTGTGAACAGCTGTCGCGCCGGTGTTTCGAAAAAGATCTGGCAACGCTCGCCGAGCACTCAATGTCAAAATTTCGGCTCGTTTGAAACAAACAAAATAGTTATTTTTCGGGCTTTAGTTCTCACGTTTAGCACTGCATTATTCCCAACATTTTTTGCCTAAAGGTTTGGGGTACAAAATTCATAGCTCATTGCAATGTTTCGAGTTGGCAAGCTGACGGGCAGCCTGTCTGAGGTGGCCACTAAGGAAGCGGGACCGGTGCGTTTTCAGCGGCGCTGCATTCAGGCGAGGGGTCTCTTGCCGGGATTGGCTAGTAGAACGCCGGGAACGCTATCGGCGACGGCCCAGGTAACTGGTGGCAGCAAGCAGAAGTTCCAGCCCCAGTCCCAGACCACCGGCAGTGGTCCCGAGGCAGTGAGTCTATCGGTGGTCTTAGTTTACATAACACACTACTTTATTTTGTTGCCCTTTCCCAGCAGAACAGCCGCTGGCCGAAGAAGGTGTTCAGTGGCATCCAACCCACGGGATCCCTGCATCTGGGTAACTATCTAGGCGCCGTGCGCAAGTGGGTGCAGCTGCAGAATGCCCGCGATGATGTCACCGTCTGCATCGTGGACCTGCACTCCATCACCATGCCCCACAATCCGCCCCTGCTGCGCGAAAACATCTTCACCATGGCCGCCACGCTGCTCGCCTGCGGCATCGATCCCGCCAAGAGCACGCTCTTCGTCCAGTCCGCCGTCGCCGAGCACGCCGAGTTCAACTGGATCCTTAGCTCGATGACCACGATGCCGCGTCTGGCTCAACTGCCACAATTCCGGGAGAAGTCCCGCCTGCTCAAGGATGTCCCGCTGGGCTTGTACGTCTATCCGGTGCTCCAAGCAGCCGATATTATGCTGTACAAGTAAGTTTATTTACCCCCTGCTATAGATTTTTGGGGATCCACAGTATGTGGATGATTAAATACTATTAATTCTACTACATGTATTGTCGTCCATAGTGATGTTTTATATATAACATTTTATTGCTTAATGTAAAGACACTTTTTGACAGAAGTTGTAGATCTAATCACTAGATTCTATTGTCAAATACACATTTTATGTTTACTGATTTTGATTATTAATATTATTGTTACTTGTGTTACTTATATTGATAATCTGGTTACCTTTTGATTTCTTTCTCAGGGCCACCCATGTTCCTGTGGGCGCTGATCAGATACAGCACATCCAGCTGGCCCAGCACTTGGCCAAAACCTACAACGGTCGCTATGGCGAGACCTTCCCTGTGTGCCACGCTATCATCGAGGATGGAGACGCCTCCCGGGTGCTGTCCCTTCGAGATCCCTCCAAAAAGATGTCGAAATCGGAGGCAAATCCCAAAGCCACCATAAATCTATGCGATTCGCCTGAGCTGATCACGCAGAAGATAAAGAAAGCCGTCACAGATTTCACCTCGGACATCACCTATAATCCTGGCAAGCGAGCCGGCGTGAGCAACCTGGTCAACATCCACTCGCAGGTCACCGGGCAGTCGATTGAGTCGGTGGTGGACGAGGCCGCCACCCTGGACACGGCCAAGTACAAGGACCGTGTGGCGGAGGCTGTGGTCGAGCACTTGCGTCCGATCCGGGAGCAGATCCTCCATCACATGACCAGGCGCAACGAGATGGTCTACTTGCTGGAGGTGGGGGCGGAAAAGGCGCGTCAGCAGGCACAACAGACGATGAGCGATGTGAAGCAGCGTCTGGGACTGGGCACCAGTGTCAATATACCGGCTGCGGTGCAAGTGGCACCGCTTCTGCCCACGCCTGAGGTTCCCAAGACCTCGGCCAGTAGGCAAATGTCCAAGGAATTTGACGGCAATGTCCACGAGCGCCACGAGCGGATGTACGGCTTCGGGGATCAGCCAAGCGGTGGAGCTGGCAAGTCGCCCACCGGAGAACTGCCGGAGATCTCTCAGGCGACGATGCCGCGAGTGTCCCGTCGTCCGCCCGTCGTGCCCGCCCAGTCCCTGCGCGTGGAGAAGCAACTGGGCAGCACCCGGACACGTCACGTCTTCCAGATGGACACCTGCAATGCCCCTCACATTGGCTTCAAGCCGCCACCGGGATTTTCTCCCAACTTAGTCACTGGCGGACTGACAAAAGTCAAACGCCCGACAGTAAAACCCGTTCCCGGCAGCATGGGATTCGGGCAGCAGGCGCAGGGAGCCTTGTCCAATCAAGGCCAGAACGTTAACCCCAGTGCAGTGTCCACCATTGCACGTGAAGTGAATGCCGCCAAGAAGCAGGAGTTCACCTGCAACCCTGCCTTCTACGCATCTGCCCTTGACTCACATCAGAGTTCGACTCGCACCAGCGAAAAGAGCTCCTCCAAGGCGACAGATAGTGATTTTATTATTGTTGCTAATGATGAGGAGGAGCAGGCCTCCTCCCAAGAGCAACACGAGGAGGCTGAAGAGGAGGAGGTCGTTGAGCGGGAAAGGGACAGCAGCGAGCGCAAAGCCAGCGAAGCTACCAAAGTCGAAATATAACTCTTGGAAACATTGCAATTGTTATTAGTGTAGTACAAGTATACTTAGATAACAATATTTCTGTCAAATCTGTCGTTTTTATGAAAGTAGTCAAGCGTCTAACGAAGAAATTATCCATATTTATAGTATATGTCGGCGACATTATAAATATTTTAAATCCAAAAATTGACGTACCAAAATCAAATGACACGTGAAACGGAAATACAGTTGATCCTACGATTGTTGTTAAATTTACATTTATATATTGTAAGTGCTAGTTTTCTTTCAAAAATTTATAAACAAATCCAGCAGATCAAAATAAATTAGCATAAGAATATTCGTGTTTATTGCTTTCAGCTAACTTATTGTACTTTTCGTAGTTTTTGGTTTCCTATTTTACGATATGGGACTAAGTGCATGTGTAAATTACATAGGTGAGTATATGGATGATGAATTACATAGGTGGAGTATGTAGCCAAAAAATTAATCGCATGTACAGTGTAAATAAATATCAGTGTGCACTTAGGATGTACTGTGCATCAATATCAGCGGCACCTCGTTGCTGTACTTGGAGTTCTCCTGGCCGCCCAACAACGCCGAGTTGCTGCAGTCCCGCATCATGGCAATGGAGTTGTTGCGCTGCTCCCGCTGCCTCAGTCGACTGTGACGGATGCCGTAGGACAGAAAGATGGCCAGTCCGATGGCGATCCAAATGCTGAAGCGCACCCAGGTGAGGATGTCCAGCTTGACCATCAGGTAGATGTTGATCAGTATGGAGATGCCCGGTAGCCAGGGCACCAGCGGCACCTTGAACGACAGCTTCACCCCCGAGGTTGGCTGGCGCGAGATGATCAGCAGCAGCACTACCAAAGGTATGGTGCCCAGCACCAGCTTAATGCCATCGAAGGACGTCACGTTCGCCAGATCCTCCTCAAACTTGGTCAGAATCTGCGAGAAGACCATGCACCAAAGAGCTGAAAATTAAGAGGATTCATTAGAATTGGATTTCATGCGGTTAAATTTTAAAATCTTTTATGGTTTAAAACAAAACCAATTTTTGCTTAATTATGGATTTTATAAAATTAATAAAAAAGTAACAAAGGAATTATTAAATATCCTTATATAATGTTTTTTTTGACATTAAGTCAGTAAAATGTCACTTACAGAACAGAGTCACACTGTAGGTGACGATCCTTGAAGTGTGCTTGGTAGGCACCGCCTGGCCATTGAGGTTGAAGATCCGCCTCCAGAGGGCACAGGGCCGATCCTGCTCCAGACCCATGGCACGTCCGTTGGCCACGATGCGACTTTCCCGACGATCGTCCACCTCGTAGCGCAGCATGAGGACGCAACTGGCCACCATGGAGTAGGCCAGCAGGGTGCCGATGGACATCATGTTCACCAGCTGGCTGAGATTGAAAACGGCCGCCAGGATGCCCGTCAGCAGACCCGTGATCATGGTTCCCTTGAAGGGAGTCTTGTACTTTTCACTGATATCCCCGAGGAACTTGAACAGCAAACCATCGTTGGACATGGCGAACACGATTCTTGGCAGTGGGAACATGGCTCCCATCATGCTGGAGCACAGTCCAAACATTGCTCCAATGCTGACCACATACTCGGCCACATGCCAGCCATTTATGCGGAACACATGGGGCAGCGGGGCCTTCTCGTCCTGTTCAAAGTAGGGCAGCATCATGGTCAGCACGGTGGACACTCCAAAGTAGGCCAGGAAGATCATGGCCAGGGAGACGATCACAGCGAATGGAATGGACTTCTTGGGGTTCTTGGCCTCCTCCCCGGCAGTGGCTATGCAGTCGAACCCAATGAACCCGTAGAAACAAACTGCGGCTCCCTTGATGATGCCCGAAACTCCATAGGGCATGAATCCACCGTTGCCATAGCCCTCAGGCACCTCCGATTTTGGAATGGACCAGTTGCTGCTGGAAACTGAAGAAGAGGTATTATTAATTAATAAGTTAAAAAAAATTTAATCAATTTCTAAACATATAAATGGTGATCAACAAGAACTCTTTAGATTTCAAAGCTTAGTACAAGATATTATAAATACACATTTTGTAATTGCAATAACCTTTTCGATATAAACATTTCTTAGAATTGTTAAAATTTTTAAAAAAAATAAGAATTATGTTTTTCGGAAAGAAAAAACTCACCTTTAAAGAGTCCTGCGATGATCACGAACAGCACCACTCCCAGATTCAGCATGGTGAAGACATTGTTCACCCTGGTGGACTCCTTGGCTCCCACGGCAATGCCCAGGGAGAAGAGAATGGTCACCACAAAGGCGAACAGATCCGGATAGGCCCCCATCCCGTCAATGTTGATGGGCATGTGGGTGCCCAGGAAGCTGCTCATCGGATTGCCGCAAAGCTGGTCGAGATAGGTGCTTAAACCCTTGACGACACTGGCGGAGCCTAGCGGAAAGCGAGATGGGAACCAGAGTCAGAGTCAGAATCAGAATTCGTGGGCAATTAAATCAAATCAATCAGACGGCGGCGCCTCTAATTGAAAACTTACCAATTGCGTATTCGAGAATGAGATTCCAGCCGATGAGGAAAGCGATAAACTCGCCAATGGTCACATAGCTGTAGATGTACGCCGATCCTGCCTTCGGAACCCGGGCTCCGAACTCCGCATAGCACAGTCCGGCGAAGATCGAGGCGATGGCAGCGATGAGGAAGCTAACGACCACCGCAGGACCCGCATACTGCTTGGATACTTCGCCGGCGAGGACGTACACACCCACGCCCAAGGTCGACCCAATACCCAGGGCAGTGAGATCAAAGGCGGACAAGACTTTGGCCAATTTGGATTCATTCGAGTCCTCCAACGGCTTCTTGCGTGTGAGCACGCGAAACGCATTCGTCACGCTCCAGCTGGGCATTCTGGAAAAAAAGATTGTTAAACCATTATTATAATGGGCAAGTATGTAATTGAAGCTAAGGGCTTCTGCTGAGCCGTGCAATATATTTATAATCCGCCGTACTCGATGTTTACAGAACCGACATATTAACACGTTCGCAATTTGTGGAAAGTGCCTGTGGTGGTATAGGTGGGTCAAGAAATGGTGCGGAGTTGGGTTTATGGGTCGGCCATAAGAAAATTAGTGGGCGTCCGTTAATGTGCGAATGTAGACAACGGTTTTACGACCGCCAAGTCGCGTCAAAGCTGATCTAAATTTGAGTCTTGTGATCATCGGGATTTATCTCCGATGACTAAGAGGGGAAATCTCCATACTAACATCTTCCAAAATAAATCAACGCTGAAAATAATCTATTAATTATAGACTTTATGTGTTTGTTATATTTATATAAATAAATAACTTAAGATTTTAAAAATGTATTGAAATTATTCGTTTTTCACCCATGTCTACCGATTTTTATGTAAACACATTAACTTTTGGTATGTCTCTTTTAGCTCTGGATAAGTACGAAAATTATAATTGGCAGAATCGATTAGGAAGTTTAAGCCTTTTAAACTGGTCTTTTTTGATTTTTGTAAACAATAAGCTGCTTCGTGCTTTAATAAAACCTTCAAATTGCTCACCTGCTGTCTTTTAAAATCGAATCCTTTCTCAACTTTTTTAACTGATCACTAATTAGTTTTTGGTCGTTATCGCACTTTAATAAATATCACAAACTGCAATCCATATTTGATTGGCAAGGGTAGAATCAAGTTTCGAGAAATCTGAGGACAAAATTGAGGACTGTATCTGTATCTGGATGCCACTTAATTGAGTTTGGGTATCGGAATTCGCAATTTGAAATTTGATCGAGTTGCGTATAGCGCCAGAAAGCGTTCCACTGATTTCTGAGCGTACGCCGTGCACGCCAGTGCCATTAAATAGTGAATCGGTTCTACGGCTCCGGGGGATCGTGGTGAGTTCAAATCGAACTGAAGCTTTCGCATCCTCAGGTCGGACGCGAACGAGGTGAAATCACGGCTCTGACGCTGACAACGCTAATTGGTAACCCACCTCCTCCTCCGTCCCTACCAGAAATTATAGTATGGATATTGTATATTCCCGAATGCATACCCCGGGTGGGAACTCTCGGTTTTACCGGATGACTAGGCAGGTCGATGGGCCAAGTTTACCACATGCCCTAATGAATTGTCGCGTTCGATTAGCGGTTCAAATAGTTGACACTTTTGACGTTGTTAAACAAAAAGGTAAGTAGCTAAGCATTTGCATCCTGCACAATTAATGCATAACTAAGCACTCGATCAGTGAAAAATTAATAATACGTTCGTCCAACTATTTCATGGTATATACCCATTTTCTATATATCTTATTTAACCAAAATAAATAAGTACATTGTCTAACAACTTCCAAAAAAGAGAATACATGCTTATTGAACTAGTATTACCACCTATCGTTATTATATTGATTAAAATTTTTATGATGTTGAAATAGGTTGGTTTTCTTGTGTTTCGAAATCATTTTGTTTTTTTCTTTCCGTGTATAGTTTCTTAGCTGGAAGTAGTTTACTTACAAACAACTGGAAACATATATCTTATGTCTTGGCCAACCTTATGGAGATAAGGCAACACGAACTCAGAAGCTTTGTGTTACGTTTTTAGTACTCTAATAATATGAACATTATTTTAGGAGAAAAACCGTATTTAATAAAATTAAATATTAAAAAAAAATTAAAAATTCGTTTCATTTCGTGGAAGGTCTCGCTTAGCTTAGTCTGACTGGCAAATGAAGAAAAAGCAGACCAGTGTAAAAATAGTTTCTCCTCCCTGCAGAGCATTTTTCAATTGGCGTGATGGAAACCCCTGAATTGTTTTGATTTCATACGGCACTACTAATTTTGCTTTGTTTGAGCTTTCCATTGGCATGGACGCGTGGAGTTTTGGCCATTGTTTATACGCAGCTCAGCTGATACAAGCTGATAGCTGCTATTCGCGTCGTGTGGCCGAAAGGTGGGTGCTAAACCGTGGCTAAAATTAGCCACCGTGTTTGATTGCATTTAACGCTAATTTTAGACACTTGTTGCATGCGTGTTCTTGACATTCACTCACCCATAGTACTCGGCGAACTCCTCCATTGCTGTCATCCGAATCGATTTGATTAAATTCAATTAATACCGTGCCGCTCATCAATATGCGGCCGCTTTCCGCTCTTCAAATAACCGTTCTGCCGCAAACCATGTGTTTTGGTCTCTTCACAACCGGCCATAAAATCACAATTCCACGCAACACATTGCAGCTGCCGCTCTCCCTATTCGTCCAACACTCTCTCATTTTCCATGGGCGTAGCCATCAGGGACTTTCACCACATTTTGTACCTCTATCAAAAATGTACCTATGATTTTGCAATTTTTTGGCTGTATTTATGGTATGTCACAAAATGTGCAAAAGAATGTACTCATTGATCTGGGCTTCTTACTATATAATTTAGAAAAAACATTTTTAAAATAACTAACATTTTTAGCTTCTCATGATTCACAGGGCCAACATCCCCCGCCTACGTCCATGCTAACCTCCCATTATTTTCTTGTGAAACGGGAGAGAAACCGGGTAGTCGACTTCTGTGAATCTCCATGAACTAGATATGCTCGCGATATTTAAATAGCCAACACGGTGGACTGGCAACCCTCATTTAGCCGGTAATAAGAACTTCTCTCTCACTTTGGCTTTAGTTCAGCCATTGTTGTTGTGCTTATTTCATAGCTACCTTTATTTCATCAGCCGTCAGTTCAACCCTTAACACAGAATATCTTCAAATGTTTTGCCATGGGGATATTGTTTTTTAGACAAAGGAATTTAGGTCAGAAGAACCTTTTTCTATATTCGTACATAGGTAAAAAAAATGTATTTTGACCAAAAAATATATTAGCAAACATTTGTTTTTTGAATTGTTTGATACCTACAAAGAATTTTCCAAATTATAAAATTCATAAAAAAGCTTTACTATTGCTTTTAAACATTAAAATTTCATTAAACTGATATTCAAATTGAAAAATTAAATATCATCGGGGAAATTTAAGTGAAAACCAAACTTGAAACGTAATCACATACGTATGATTTATTTATAATTAACGTCACATTTTTAAGTGCTAATCAGAAAAGAGCAACGATTCTGTTGATTGAATGAATCATGTGCCTCATATGTGGGCTCGAATATGGATTGTTGTTTTTGGGGCAGTGGTTCAAAAATACTTCTAATTAGTTCCGATTGCACTAGCGTACAAACAAATTTAGAACACGGGATTATTTTTAACTCCTTTGTCAAGATTAAGATGTACAAACAATTTTTTTTACACTTTTTAAGGTATTTATTTTTTTAGTTCTATTTAGCTAGCTTTCGTTTCTTCATTCTTCGTCCTACCAAATAGAAATGTTCAGTTACACATCTGATATACAATTTTAAATTTAATATCCGAAGCTAATATTAATACCGATCATTGATTCATGCGGTTAGTTCCAAGGGAAACATGAAGTTGTTAAGTTGCCTTTCCGTTTTACCCGGATTGCTGCTTTTTTCAAGCATGAGCATAGTTAACCTGCTTCCAGAAACGGACTATTGCCAGTTAAAAAACTGTCCAGCTGACAAGAAACTGCCACATATTGCATGCAATAATAAGAAAGTATGCGAATATAGTTTTCATTTAATGTACAACAAATTTTTGTTGGTTTTCAACCCGCAGGACTGGTCCTCACGGTGTGGAAAAAACCCAAAAATCGTTTCTATACCCAACACCATAAGGACGTTGATCTTGAACAATCACAACACTTATCGAGATTTAGTGGCCGGAACCAAATTCCACAGACTACCCACTGCAGGTCGTATGCTCAAAATGATGTGGGACACCGATCTGGCTTACTTGGCAGAACTCCTGGTGAAGCGCTGCGATCTCCAGCCCACTGATCACTGCATATCCACGGAGTTGTTTTCCGCCCCGAGCTACCATGCGGTCTACAACAAGTTCAAGAAGAACGAGGATACTTTCAGGATAGTTAGATCCCAGCTAAATAGCTGGTACGATCAGTACAAGCACGTCTCTGCAGCCAGCCTATTAGATGGGTTGTCCAATGATAAGTGAGTCGTGTGTATCATCCGTGTTGTGTTGTTTGAACAATATATTCTCCTTTCAGATCGGAAATTGGACACTTCCTGAGAATGATGGTGGGCCCCAGTAACCGTATAGGCTGTGCCATAGCCAGGATCGAAAAAGATGGGTGGACCCACCAATGGCTAGCCTGTGTCTACAGCTGTTCACCAAAGAAAAACTCTGTACTCTACGAGTATTCTATCAATCCCGGAATGTTTTGCACCACCGGGGTTGATGGCAGGTTTCAACATCTTTGCAACGAAACGGAGCCTGTTGAAGATTGCAAAAGTTCCGACCAATTCAAAGTGGACATTACCAATGACACTGCATCCCATATAAGGAGCATGATGAATAGACGGCCACAATCCAGGAATATTCTGTGTGGTTTCTGTGCTCTCTGCTGCGAGTGGTGGGATTGGGCAAAAGGCAGCTGGGGACTGGTTCAGAAAACCTGGAGTGTCATTCAAGGTGGCAGCGGCGGTCATGAAGAGGAATGAAATTTACACTTTTTTTTCGCATTTTACCATTTAAAGGTATTTGCCGAAATTAAAAACCTCAGAATAAAATAATGGGATAACCAATTCTATTGTTTAACCACACACTGAAATAAGAAACTTACATTACACTTCCTTTTTATTTCGTATATGAATATTAATATTGCAAGACATTGAGGGGTCTGAAAGCATGGAGTCAATTTAAGGTTGAGTTAGTTTGATTTGGATGGCCGTTGTTATTAAAGCAATAATATATAAAATACATTAAATGTGGTTTGATTAACTAGTTCTTAGAGATATGTCTTTATATAAATAGCTCTTAGAGTAAGAGGGTATATTGCATTCGTTGAAAAGTATGTAGCGTTTCCGACCATATAAATTATATATATTCTTGATCAGGATCAATGACCGAGTCGTTCTAATCATAACCGTCTGTCTGTCAGTCCGTATGAACGTCGAGATCTTGAAAGTTATAAAATCTACAGATTGGGATTTAAAATGTAGAATCTAAAATTAGGCAACTCCCACTTCAACGAATCATAAAAAAATTTGAAATTAAAGATTTTAGTTTTGGCCGGTTCTTAGTGCTAGCCTTCGTTTCTTGATTTTTTGTCCCAGGCGAAAATTTATTTATAGAGACAATAGAAAAAGATGCAGTCACACTTGATTATATTGAACCGAACCTAACATTACATTTCTAACAAAATTAGAATCCACTTGTTTAGTTTCAAAGAGAATATGAAGACGTGGAGTTGTTTTTGCGTTGCAGCAGGATTTCTGTTTTTCTCTCAGCTGGACGTTGTTAATTTAATGAAAGAAACGGACTATTGCAAGCTAAAGAACTGTCCAGCCGAAAAGAAACCACCACATATTGCCTGCAAAAATAAAGGTGTAAGCTAACTAGTCAACTTATTACAATTTTATCACGCTAAGAGATGTACTTTGTTTAAACGTTATTTGGTTTTTCTTTTACTTCGTAGAACTGGTCGCCTCAGTGTGGTCTAAACGCAACAATAATTTCCATACCCAAGAAAACAAAGAAGTTCATAATAAACTATCACAACACCTATCGCGACCTAGTGGCCGGGGGCCAATTTCACAGGTTACCACATGCAGGTCGTATGCTGAAACTGTCGTGGAGCAGCGATCTGGCTCGTTTGGCCGAACTTCTGGTAAAACGCTGTGATCTCCATCCAACTGATCGCTGCATATCCACGGAACTGTTCTCCGAGCCGGGCTACCATGCGGTCTACAACAAGTTCAAGAAGAACGAGGATACTTTCAGGATAGTTAGATCCCAGCTGAATAGCTGGTACGATGAGTATAAGCACGTTTCTGCTGTCAGCCTATTGGATGGATTGTCCAGCGATAAGTAAGTATTGCTCAGCTCTCGTCATCAGTCCACTTGTCCGCTAATGATATGCCTTAGGAAGGAGATTGGACACTTCATGACAATGATGGTGGGTCCCAGTAACCGCTTGGGCTGTGCCATGGCCAGGGTCGAAAAGGGTGGATGGACGCACCAGTGGCTAGCCTGTGTCTACAGCTGTTCACCAAAGAAAAACTCCACACTCTACGAATTTTCCACAAAACCCGGAATACTTTGCACAACCGGAGTCGATGCCAAGTACCAACATCTTTGCAAACGAACGGAGCCGGTGGACAATTGCAAGCACTCGCCAAAGTTCAACGGAACTGTTCCCAATAACACTGCCTCGTTAATAAGGGCCATGATGAAAAAACCAGTACAACCCAGGACATTTTGGTATTGGTGGAAATGGTTGTTTGGTTGGACATATACGATTACGTATCCTACACAAACGTACGAAACCGAAGCCCCTACAGTCGACTCCGATGAATACGAGTATATTTGTGAATGTGAGGAGGGAACATGTGAGGATGAATAAACCTTATCTTTCTGCTATCTGTGTAGAGAATAACATTTAAATACATTCAAAACGATTGTTGACATAAAATTTGATGAACTAAAAAATAAAATTAATCCAGTTAAATAGGACTTACAATTTCGAATTTAATACTCTTATCTAGTAGAATGAAATAGAATAATTTGATAAAATATTTCTTAAAGTCAAAATTTATTTATTGAAAATGTAGCACCAACAAACGTGTATTCGTTATATGGGTTATATTTACAGTAAAAATAGAGTGGTGATAGGGGTATAATTTTTTAATGGAGTTTATTTTCTTTTTTTTTGTTTTATGGAAAGTCCTTTTGAATTTTTACAAAAAAAATTTAAATTATATTAATCAGAAATCTTGTTTCTAAAGGTTAGTGTGCCTATATGTTTAACGCACATTTAAAACAGAAATTTGATCTATATCATTTTAGAGTTTGTCAAGGAAGTCGAGAATTTAAATACTTGCGACCTCCAAAAAGTATGCAACGCTTAGTCTACCAGAGTTTAGTTAAGAGAAACCAATCTCATAAAAACTACTTCTCTTTTCTTTACTCTTAATAGCACCCACACCAAATCTGGTTGGATGTTAATTCGATGGGGATATATGCTAGCCGGTAACTCGCTTTAAAGGCAGTTTCCAATTACTTTCAGTTGTCATTCAGTTGCTCTCTGTACTTCGAGTCCGGGTGATCAGAGATCAGAACGCGGAATACAATATAACCCGATCGCGAATTTCTGTGAGTGGAATTGTTATGCACGAATCTACCTGATAAGCCCATTGTTGTTCGGATTCCTTTTATTCTTATTTGGCAAACATGTTTAGTTGCTTGTCTCTAGCGATAATAAAAGTGTGTGAACAGAATGAAATGATTCGACAACAATGAAACCGAATCATTGAATATCGTTTCAGCGTTTAATCAATTGGTTTGGAGTACGAGCTGAAATCAATTAAAGGCAATAAATAAAGCAAATTCTATAGAGCTTAAAAATAAAGCTAGGCAATGTTTCTTAAAATAATTAACGCCTTAATAAAAAAATATCAATTAATCTTTAGATGTTATTAACACTTTTTTGCTCTTTATCCCTAATTTGCTATTTCCATTCAGTTGCTATGTCATACTTAATTATAATCATTACATGTAAATATTTGCATGCCTAAAAGTTCTCGTTGTCCTCAATTTTTAAATTCATTATTTCTTAAAAACAAGAACACAATTTGTAATTAAGTAAATATGTTCTACAAAGTTGTAGGCAAGACAAAATTGTTTGTAGCTATTTTTTGAACGCAATAGAATAGTATAAATTCTGTAAAAAAAACCATTGTTTTGACAGAAAACAATCCCCAACCAGTGATCATACACAACTTCCTATTTAACTAATTCCCAGCCTCATTTCATTTCCATTTATTCGTAATTGTTGTGTTATCTTTTTAACGCCTAATTGGTTGAAAATATTGGCGAAAGGGAATATTGCTGAGATGTTTTCACTCTGTTATCAGTTTTTATACTTGATCTATTCTTAAAAGAAACAAATTAACTGTTGATATTTCCGAAAACTATCTGGTAAAACTCCACAAAATAGGTTAAACTGGAAGTCATTATAATGCTAATATATCCGGAACGTTGTAGCGAGCACATCCATCATTGACTTGACGCCCATTTGGTGTGTTAATTTTTAAAACGCTTATTTGCACTAATTCCCGTTTGTTTGTTTTTTAGTATCTGTCCCACATCTTCCTCCTTCCATTCATGGCCATGTCATCGCATCTGGGTAAATTCAGCAGTATTGACTCGTTTTTAACTGCTGGATTAGTTTTTTGTATTGCCTTATCCGGCGCTTTAACCGTCTCATCCGAAAAGCCTAATATCATCATTATAATGGCCGATGATCTGGTGAGTCTAATGGGACATTTTATAGTTTTAATGAGCATTTGATATGATTTGCATACAGGGTTTCGATGACGTAAGTTTCCGTGGCTCCAACAACTTTCTCACTCCCAACATTGATGCTCTGGCATATAGTGGAGTAATCCTGAACAATCTTTACGCCGCACCGATGTGCACACCTAGCCGGGCTGCTCTTCTAACTGGCAAATATCCCATTAATACAGGCAAGTTTTTCTCTTGATCGTGAAGTAGAATTTAAAGTTAAATGATTTCGCCTGTTTGGATTAATGAAACTAATGAAAATATTTATCAGAATTAAAATGAGTGCACAATTTCAGGTATGCAGCACTATGTGATTGTGAACGATCAGCCCTGGAGTCTTCCGCTGAACGAGACGACCATGGCGGAGGTTTTCCAGGGAAATGGCTACCGAACCAGTCTCCTGGGAAAGTGGCACTTGGGAATGTCGCAGCGAAACTTTACGCCCACCCAACGGGGATTTGATCGTCATTTGGGCTACCTTGGAGCCTATGTGGATTATTACAGCCAGATCTATGAACAAAAGGTGAGAAATAAGTGAGAAAGTGGGTCATTCTTGTTCAGATTTATATTCTGCGAATTGTATGGTTTTCATTCCTTAACTTAACTTCTGTTCTGTTCTTAAACTTATTAATTAATTTATTATTTATTTTCTGTTTAGAGCAATGGCTACAATGGCCATGATTTCCGGGACAATCTGAAACCCGGCCACGATCAGGTGGGCCGCTATGTCACTGATGTGCTCACTGATGCAGCTGTTCAAGAGATTGAGAATCACGGATCGAAAAACAATAGCCAGCCACTCTTTTTGCTTTTGAGTCATCTGGCCCCACACGCTGCAAATGATGATAGTCCCATGCAGGCGCCCGACGACGAGTTGGTCCAATTTGAGTACATTCGAAATGAGACCCATCGTTACTATGCGGCAATGGTGTCGCGACTGGACAGGAGTGTGGGCATGGTCATAGACGCCCTGGCACGGCAGGAAATGCTCCAAAACAGCATCCTGCTCTTCCTGTCCGACAATGGCGGGCCAACTCAGGGACAGCACTCCACCACAGCCTCCAACTTTCCATTGAGAGGGGTAGGTAAAATACGATTGATGATTGATACTTGCAAAATAAGTACAATCCCAAAAGTAGAGCAAATCTTTGTCAGGTTGTAACCAAATTTACAAAACCTTTTTTATATCTTGTTTTGCGAGATATGTTTTTTAATCTTTTAATCTTGGAAAACAACGAATCGAGTATTTAACAGCGATGCATTATTCCCTTTAAAAAATGTTTGTTTAGGAAACAAATTTAAATTCGATCAAATTATTTTATTTAATCAATTGTTTACATTTTGTAAAAAAAATACTTTTTTGAAAGTGATTTATACCTAACACACATCTAAATATAGAGTATATATATTTCTAAAGCAGTCAGGCGTGAACTGTTTATCACGTTACAAAGCTTGATTGATTTATTGAGTTCACTTTTAGACTACATCGTTATACAAAGTGATATGTAAATTGTTTAATAACTACTTTTCTGTAGATAATTCCTCAAACTCAATATTAACATTTCTTCGAGTCGAATTTATGTAAATCGACAATCAAAATCATAATGATAGTATGTTATCTTTAATTACTCGACAGTTCCATTTATTAATTAATTTGTTTTTAATTACAGCAAAAAAATTCCCCATGGGAGGGCGGACTGCGATCCTCGGCGGCCATTTGGAGCACTGAGTTCGAGCGCCTAGGCAGCGTGTGGAAACAGCAGATCTATATTGGCGACCTGTTGCCCACGTTGGCGGAAGCAGCTGGAATATCGCCGGATCCGGACCTCCACCTGGATGGCTTGAACCTGTGGTCGGCGCTCAAGTACGGATACGAATCGGTGGAGCGGGAGATTGTCCACGTGATCGACGAGGATGAGGTGGAACCCCATCTGTCCTACACACGTGGCAAGTGGAAATTAATCAGCGGCACTACCAGCGGAGGCATTTACGACGGCTGGCTGGGTCAGCGGGTGACCAGTGAGGAGGATCCCCGATCCCGGGACTACGAGGATCTCATTCGGAACACCAGTGTTTGGCAGCATTTGCAGCGGGTATCCGCCGGGGAGCGCAACATAAGCGAGCTGCGGGATCAGGCCAGGATCGAGTGTCCAGTTCCTGTGACTGGGATCAAGCCCTGTATGCCCCTCGAGGCACCCTGTCTCTTCGACATTGAGGCGGATCCTTGCGAGCAGAGCAACCTGTACGAGGAGTATCGAAATACGACTATCTTTCTGGATCTGTGGCAGCGAATCCAACAGTTCGCCAAAGAGGCCCATCCGCCCAACAACAAGCCATCGGATCCGGACTGCAATCCCCGATTCTACCACAATGAGTGGACCTGGTGGCAGGACGAACAGGCCTCTAGTTCGGGGACCACGGGGCGGATGAAAATCGTAACACTTTTCCTAGGATTTTTTGTGACAAGTTGTTGGTTTGTCTAAATTTGGGATACGCTACCAAGTAAGTAAAGAATTTTATTCTCCTTGCCAAAACATAATTTAGTATAATTACAAAAAAACTAATTATACCTTAATACGTCACACTTTTTCCTTATTTCAGAATCAATACCAACAATTTAGTTTAAACTATAATATTAATTAAAAATAATCGAATCAATACCAACAATTTAGTTTAAACTATAATATTAATTAAAAATAATCGAAGAGAGCCGTGATAAGCAATGGTTATATCTTTATGTTGATAATAACCATTTGTTGTTTCCAGAGAACTTACTGTGAATCGAGAGTTTGGAGCAAACCAATTTAGATAATTTATAGCTTAAATTTGACCAAACCGAAAAAATTCCGGGTATTGTCTTAATGACCCCTGTGTCAAATAGGCAATGCGCTTGCTTATCTTATCTTATCGATCTACTTCTGTGGAAACTGATAACTGCAAAACCCCCCTTCAAATCAATCAGAGGAAGAGATCTCTGCCAATCATTAGGGCTTACAAGGTATTAAACGAAGTTGCAATATAATATGAGGATTTATAGTTATATTTTAGGATGGTACATTTTGTTGAAATGGTACAAATTTATTGAACAACACGATAAGATTTTTGTAAACAGATGTTATTTCTATTAAAAGAAAATTAGTCAGAGATTTTGTTGATTTATGTTTTTGTATACAATTTACGATTACGAATTATTGATGAGCACTGTCAAACGATTTTGTTTTGTGTGTATATTTATATACTTATAAAGCTAATAAAAATCTTAAAATTCATTAAAACTATCTTTTTTTTGCTTGGCACTAAACAATAGCTTGGTGATTTAGTATTGATTGCTACCTTGTTTTTACACTTATTTTTTTAAGTGAACATATGGATAAATAGACTTTCACATTGACTTAATTATCTGAAAAATTAAAGTTTTTGATTTGAGTCCAGCCTTTTTATTTGTCGAAGTACTCTAATTTCTGTTCAACCTTGGTTTTATATTAGTTAGAGCGCAGTATTTTTGTCTAAACTATTGTTTTCAATAAAATGGTTCATATGTTTAAGCTATAACCTCAAGCTCAAGTTGAAATCCCTAAAAACTATTAACACTCCGATATATAAGGCTGCAGGTTGAACATACAATTGACTTTAAGAAATTTAAAATATATTAAATATATATATAATACATATATTTAATATGTTTTAATAATTAAGCAATAGGAAAACAAAACGATATCCAAATAAATTTTATTTTATTTATTTTGAACGGGAATCCATAAGTTTTCTGGAGATCTTAGTTATTAAGCAGCGTCATAAATAGTTGAATCTATTTGGCCACCAGCACTTCGTATTTGTCGAACTTGCGCAGGTTGAGGTTCTCATGCTTGATGATGCACAACTTCTGGCTGGGAATGAGGGTGCCGATCAGAATTGCTCCATCGGTCTTTGCCCGACAGCAGAACACCCGCTCATTTTGGACCGTAGTGCCCACGGCAACGGCTCCCTTCTCGTAGAATCCATCGAAACTCCTCGCCCAGACGAAGGTCCGGTTGTTCTGAGCAACGAGGAGGTCGTACACAAGGAGCTTCGAGGAGGCGGTCTCGGTATTGAAGTAAGCGACGCCGGTTTCCACAACCACGCGGGCGGGCAGGATATTGTTAGAGTATTTTACACGGCCCACATAGGTGTTGAATCCATAAGGATCGAATCCACCCAAAACTGCTTTGTCGGGAACGGCGTAAGACAGGTTACCAGCAACCCACACGTGCTCATTATCTGCAGAAGTACGCATTTATATTTAGTATTGAGATAACCCTTTCTTAATTTATAGTGCTCACCATACGTCGACGGAACCGCGTAGACGACTACAAACAGGGCCAAAACCAAACCGGCTACTTTGTACATCTTGTCGGGCTGATGGATTCGCTTTAATTGTCAGGCCGGCTATTTAACTGCTTTTATAGTCGCCCCTTATCTCGCAGTTCCTATATTACCTATCGCTATCAAAAGATTGGTATTGATAGCATCGGTTTCGGTGAGTAACCTACAAATTGTGACTTTACTCAACCTAGTTTTATTGAACCCTAAAAAAAAAACAGATATTTGCAATTTAAAAAAATCCCCCTTGCTGTTATTTCATAAGTTTGGTTTATTGTTTTGCCTTTTTATTTTCTGAATTTTAAAGGAAACGAGTTGTTACCTTACTTGTTTTAAAAATAGCATACGTGCTCGGTCCGAAAGGGTAAAAACAGTTTTCTTCAAATTTTTTTAACATCGAAGTTTATAATCTAACTCGGAGTAAAAAAATGTATCCTTTAAGAAAATTAATAACTTGATTGCCTTTTGAGCCTTTATGAAATCAAGAGGGTCACAACATACTTTCATTAATAACGTAAGATCAACTAACTTGACCCAAATGGTAATTATAAATAAAAACTTCGAGTAACCTCTGTTGATCAACCTTTTCGTAAATTTTTTTACATTTCTTAATATTCACATTAGAGTTAGGCGAAAGTGAAGATCGATTTTTTACTATTGCTTAAATTGACAAATTTTTTTATTTGACGTAAAGAAAGATATTATATTAATTAATTAATTAAATTAAATTATCACACATTACATGGTTACATGGCGTAGGCGTAGGGAGTCATACTTTCAGACTTTAGATATATTTTGACAACCAACTGTAAATAGTTTACCGTTTGTATTATTATTTTTTGATTTTATGCCCCCAAATTTGTATTTGCAAACAGTGTGCAAAGTAGTAAAAATCCAGGCCTGAGTTTTTATCTTATTAACAAGACAAATCAATTAACAGTACAAAATAGCTATTTTTGATAAATAAATATGCGTTTTATTTGCTAGCAATCAATGTTAAATGTCCATCTAAATATCGTTTGGTAGAAGCGGCACCACATGTCGTTCTCTGACCAAGATTTCGTACTTGTCGAACTCACGGACCGGCAAGTTGTCGTATTTAACGATGCACTTCCGCTTCGAAAGGTAAAGGGTTCCAATGAAGAGTGCATCATCGCAGTGGATTCGGCAGATGAAAACGCGATTGTTAACGGTGTCAGTTCCAACGGATACGGCGTTCTTCTCCCGGTAGCCATCGAAACTGCGGATCCAGTGGTAGCTCACGGTGGCATTTGACACCAGCACCTCATAATTAACAGTTGCAAAATTCAACGTGTCCGTATTGTATGTGGCCCTTTGCAGCTCCGCAACCACTCGGGCGGGCAGAATGCTGCTGACGTAGGTCACTCGACCCACGTAGTTGTAGTAACCCTCGGGGTCATAGCCGCCCAGAACAGCCTCCTCTGGCAAATCCCTGGTCCTGTCCACAAGAGCCCAGTTGTCCTCCGTGTTGTATACTCCTCCCTGGATGTGGACCACCATTTGGAGGAGGACTACGACCAGAATTTTTGAGTTCTTGGCGGAGTTCATGCTTGGTCAAGCTGTCGTGAACATCTCCATTTGACTACCGTTTTTATAGTTTTTTCTGCTTTGGCTCCAAGTATTATAAATCATTTTCTGGGGGTTACTCAAAGATTAGATAATTGGTTTTTTGGCAAATTTTTGGTAAGATTAAGTAATATCTACAAAAATTCACCGAACGGAAGTCCCCTTAACCTTAGGTTTTAGCAATCCTCTAAAAATAAATATCTCAATATAAATATAAATATATTTCACACTTTTGGCTAAAAAAACTAGAAATAGAACTTATACCCCTGCAGTTAAAGTGCATGTCCATTATAGACATTGGGGGTGTCAAAGAAATCTCTTTCAATAAATTAGGTTGCATTTTATATGTACATTCAAATCAAAACTTATATCCCCGTTGTCATAATAAATACGCTGAGGAATGTATTCACATCAAGTTGTTTTTTAAGTTAAAGTCTTAAGATAACAGTTTTTTTTTTTTAAATATAAAAGGTGGTTTTTTTATCTATCTGTCTAAAAATGACATAGTAGAATCATCAAAGCACCAATCTACCACAAAATAATTATAATAATAATATATATTCCTAAATCAAAGTATTCTTTGTGTCAAGGAAGTATATTTACAAATTTAATGACCCAAAGCCGCAGAGAGAAAATCAGGACCCGTGGGTATCCATGTTCGGGCACCCTCCCCTCCAATCAAATAAATTTTTTAATTTAGATTTTAATGTGCTAATAGCTTATATTATTATTGTTTTAATTGGTTTTATGCAAACGCCACCCTGTAAAGAACGTTGGTGAACAAAAATAGTTGTACTTGTTTAAAGTTCTTATGTCTATGACAATCATAAAAAAACCAATCGAAAAACAAGTTGGTAAAATATAAAAAGCCAAAGTAATGATTTCGCTCAATAAATAATTTATTTATTTAATACTCAGTTGGCAGTGTATTGATATAAGTAAGGAGTAAATTCAGCCACATGGCGCTCCCTGACGAGGATCTCGTACTTGTCGAACTGGCGGAGCGGCAGGTTATCGTACTTGACGATGCACATCCGCTTGGCGAGATACAAAGTGCCAATGAAGAGTGACTCATCGCAACGGACGCGGCAGATGAAGACGCGATCGTTGGTGGCGCTGGTTCCCACGGCCACGGCGTTCTTCTCCCGGTAGCCATCGAAACTGCGGATCCAGTGGTAGCTCACGGTGGCATTGGACACCAGGACCTCATAGGTTGTAGCTTGGTTGCCCAAAGTCTCCGTGTTGTAGGTGGCCTTTCCCAGTTCCGGAACCACTCGGGCGGGCAGAATACTACTGCTGTATGCCACACGACCCACGTAGTTGTAGTAACCATCGGGATCGAAGCCACCAAGAACCGCTTCCTCCGGCAGATCCATGGTCTTGTCCATGAGCACCCACCTGTCCTGCGTGCTGTAGACTCCTCCCTGGATGAGAGTCGCCAACTGGACGAGGAGTACGGCCACAATTGCAGAGCTCTTGGTTGAGAACATGATTCGTTCGTTGACTGAAGAAGTGTTGTGGTCATCACCATCTGGAAGCAGCTTTTATAGGTCTCCCCCAAGTGGTCAAATTTTCTGATAAGATTCTTGAGGGGAGTTATTAATGTGATTAGATAGTTGCCTAATTTAATGGATTGATGATTAACACTTGAAAGTTCTGTGGTCAGTTTGTTTAGATTTGGTGAACTTTCGCTGAGAATGGAAGTCGCCTTAAAATTAGATTAGATTAGATTTTTAAATTACTATTATTATCTGGCTGTTTCAATAACCTAAGGCCACAGTAAAAAGGCTATTTAGTTGGAAAGGATGTTCGGATCTTGGCAACGTGATTTTTACTGTATACCACTTAAAGCCATAAACAAAAGCTGCAATTTTGCAGCGTTTTCTTAACTGTTGTATGTTTTTCTGCTGAATATTTTCCATTTAAAAAAATCAGCTTTTTAACTTAATTTTGCCCGAAAAATAAGGTATTTGATTATATATGGCGAGTTCTGAAATGCCTGACCTTCAAAACATGGCATACAGATCGAAAAGGCCAAATCGTACGGAATGATATGCTAATTTAATAACTAATTTAATTAGAGAGCAAAAAACTCGTTTGTGGCTTATCAACTGAGCCATCTTATCAAAGAGAGAGCTACTAGAACCCTGACCTTAGTCAACCAGGAAGGTAAAGCTCTAGCTCAAACGATCTGTCCCTTTAAAATGCCGGTAATATTGTAAACCAAGTAGCTTTAGTTTTACTTTGTTTATCTGCCTTTGCAAAACCGCGTTTTGCTTTTGCTTTTATAGCAATTGTGTTTTCGCTTTCATACGATTATTTCGTTGGCTGTTTTATAGCAGCATGCTTGGACTTTTATACGATTATTTTTCGTGCTCCTCGCGAAAACGTTGTCACTTTAAAAGCGCCAAAAGCCAGTGGAGCGTTTAGTCGAGTGGAGAAGCCGCTTGGGGAAGGATCATCAACGATCACCCTGCATCGTCAGAAACCTTAAGCTGATTCCGGAAAAACAGTTAAGTGTTAAGTGTTGGGTGTTAAAAGAGTTAAGCTACTTAGTTGCAAAGTTATTGCCAATGTGAATGTGACACACGAAATAAAATTTACCTTAGACTAATTAAGTAAAGCTGACGCTTGCTGGCAAAAAAAGGAAATAGTACATATATCATGTACTCCATATAAAATTCTAATATGCTACTAATCATACGTTAGGTCAACAAGTATTAAGTTCAAAACCAGTTTGTTGTTTTGCTAATTTAGGTTTTATCTAAATTAAAAAGTCTCTGCTTTTATGAAGTCATTAAAAAAAGAGCAAAGTCTTTTGGAGCTAAATTAAAGAACACTTGATAAAACAAACTACTTTTCGCCAACCTTAAACGTTAAAGGTTAAATAAAATCTGTAGGATTTAGGTCTAAATTACTTTTGAGAAAACATAAATAAAAAATAGAATATAGAATTGATTAGAGATTTTGATGATTTTAATGATTAAGCTTATTTATAGACAGGAATTTATAGAATATTATAAACATTAAGTGTATTCCTGTAATATTTTGAATATGCAGATTTTCATTTTATTTCGTATCGAGCTAGCCAAAAAACATCCAATGTTAGTTTGGCATGGGTGACTAATTTATATGGATTTGCTGAATTTTCTTTAATCACGGCTTTTACACAAATATTACCTTTACACAATTCCACGTTTAAGTCTTGCCACATGTATTTAGTTGGCCAACAGCAGGTTACACTGTTTTTAACTAGCGTGGTTGTGGTTGAACCTAATGGGCCCACCGGCATTTCTAGTCCTCCAGGTGGTTGAGCTCGCCCAAAACCATGAAAGTTTTCGAATTGGAAAAAGTTTATAGCTATTCGGACAAAACCAGTTTCGTTAATGGGAGATTTACACTCAAGAACCTTTCCAATGATGTACGATGAACTGAAACTGATAAAGAGACATGTGTTTAAGCAAGGTCACGATATTAACAGCCTGTGAAGGTCATCACCTGACCGCTGGGCGTTTCCATTCTCAGTCACAATCCAAATCACAATACACATGTCGTGACTGGAATTTCCATTCCATTCGCACGACACTTTTATTTCCACCCAAATTATGCAGCATTATTAACCCATTTAAAGTCGTCTAAAATGATAAAACAATTGCACAGTTCATAGATTTTTACGGCTTGTCTTGCTTATCTGCCTCGATTTCATTAATGCCAGCTTTTTTATGGCCTATTGCGACAATTAAACCAAAGTTTTAGCCAAGATAAAAAGAAATTAAACTCCTCACGGCGACGGTAAGTACAAGTACAAGTATGCAAGTGTTCATGTTGGCGTTTTATATAATGTCTTTACAATTGTTGTTAAAAAAAAACAACAAAACAATTTGACAACACTTGCGCGAATGGTTGAATGAACTTTTCGGCCACATGGCACAATGGGCCCTGGGATAGGTCAAGAGGGAAGAGAAGAAGTTGGGGGGATTGGGCAGATTGTACATTGTACCATTGCCAATTGCCAAATATGGCGTTAAAAATTCGGCAGATACTGCCTAGATGTGCAGTAATATAATTAAGTCATGCTGGTATTTCAGCATAAATATTACCAGAAACGATCAGGAGCTTAAGATTTTCAAGCGGAAATCATTTCAGCGTGTGAGACTTTAACTATCTCTTAAAAATTTCCCTATTTTAACTGAAATGGGGCAAACATTTTTGATTGGTTTCAAAATGTTAATTCCTATTTGAATTGATTCGTTAACTTATTTGAATTGATTCGTTAAACTAATAACATTAAAAAGGGCTTGGCAATCAAGGAATTAAGGAAAATGGAAAACAAATTCTTTAACTGGATTTCCAACTACTAATTACCCTTTGTTATGACAACATATTTTTAACATTTTAATTATATTTTAAAGGTGCCGTACTTGATCGGATAAAGTAGATGTCCTAAATCTGTTTACAATGTTAGGCACAATCCATGGTCTGCTGGTAGTGAGTGCCATACTCAGCCTGGCAAATGGATCTGGATACTCTACAAAGCCAAACATAATAATAATACTGATCGATGATATGGTGAGAGAGCATTTGAAATAGTTACTATGAGAAAATACCTACTAACACTTATTTTCCAGGGTATGAACGATGTGAGCTTTCATGGCTCAAATCAGATCCTCACACCCAACATCGATGCCCTGGCCTACAATGGTATCGTGCTGAACAAGCATTATGTTCCGAATTTGTGCACTCCGTCGAGGGCCACCCTACTAACGGGAAAATATCCCATACACACGGGTAACGTAATGATAAAAAAAACAAGAAGGAGCGACTATTGGTTATCCTTCACTGAGCTTATCGATTTTAAAACAAACATGTCCCCAGAAAACAATTGGGTTCTATGTTAAATATAATATTTTTCACAATAGTTAAATTTAAATGAATTTTATTTTTAGGAATGCAGCACTTTGTGATCATAACCGATGAGCCCTGGAGTCTTCCTAAGCGAGAGCGACTGATGCCGGAAATTTTCCGGGAGGCGGGCTATTCGACCCACTTGGTGGGCAAGTGGCACCTAGGATTCTGGCGAAAGGATGTCACACCCACAATGCGAGGATTCGACCACCATTTTGGCTATTACAACGGCTATATAGACTACTACGACCACCAGGTTCGAATGCTGGACAGGAACTATTCAGCTGGCCTGGATTTCCGGCGGGATCTGAAACCCTGTCCCGAAGCGAACGGAACTTACGCCACGGAAGCCTTTACTTCGGAGGCCAAAAGAATCATTGAGGAGCATGACAAGAGCAAGCCGCTGTTCATGGTGCTCAGTCATTTGGCCGTACACACGGGTAACGAGGATAATCCGATGCAGGCTCCTGAGGAGGAGGTGTCCAAGTTTTCCCACATCAAGGATCCCAAACGGCGCACCTACGCTGGTGAGTTGTAGATTTTATTCGAGAATTGGCTTATTAAATTCAAATTTATACTTATCAATATTTTTCTTATGATTTCAAGTCTGGACAAGAGTGTGGCTCGGACGATTGGTGCCTTAAAGGATAATGGCATGCTGAATAACAGCATAATTTTGCTCTACTCAGACAATGGAGCACCAACCGTGGGCATCCATTCCAATGCTGGTTCTAATTTTCCTTATCGCGGGGTAAGTTAGGAAAGGTTTTCAAAGTCTGCACTGAAAATTGAGTCTTGAAATTACTAGAACAAATAATTTAAATAAGTCTACCTCAATACTAGCGGTTTGTACGTTTACTTTTATATTCGTACGTTTACTTTTATATAAGGACAAAATTAAAGACTACATTACTTAATGTGTACTTCAAAAGTTATATTGAACTTAAAACTATAATGCCTTAAAATTATTAATTATTAATTATAGTGTGAACATTTTTTGACTATTTTCAAAACTGATTTAATAACTGCAAATTTAATTTAAATTTTAACCATATTTAACTTATTTACAATGCATTTAAATTATTAAGAACTTTTTTAAATCTGATGTTTTCCACATTAATTAAAATAAATTAATATTAGATCTTGAAAGTGAATGTGCATTGCATTTATTTAATATTTATTTTAAATATTAAGTATACAATTTAAATTTCAATAGTCGGAAATTAATTTTTACTATTCCACGCCATTTTTCAGTGTAGTTATTATAAAAATTGTTATTTTATTAATATTTTATTGCGTTTCTTCAACAGCAAAAGGAATCTCCCTGGGAGGGTGGCATTCGATCGGCTGGAGCTCTATGGAGTCCGCTGCTCAAGGAACAAGGATATGTGTCCAATCAGGCGATCCACGCCATAGATTGGCTGCCCACACTGGCCGGAGCTGCTGGCGTCTCCTTGCCGCAGGATCTCCAGCTGGACGGGATTAATCTCTGGCCTTCGCTGAGTGGCAACGAGGAGCCGAAGCCCAGGACAATGATTCACGTTCTGGACGAAGTTTTCGGCTACTCGTCGTACATGAGGGATACTCTGAAGTACGTCAACGGAAGCAGTTTCGGTGGTCAATACGATCAGTGGTTGGGGGAACTGGAGTCCAACGAAGACGATCCGTTGAGTGAGAACTACGGACAGTATGTCCTGGCATCGGAAGTTCAACGTATGTTGGGAAATCGGGGATTAACCGAGGATCGCATCCGGCAGATGCGAAGCGAAGCCACCCAGGAGTGTCCCCTTGTGGACGGACAGGATCCCCTAGATCCCCAATTCAAATGTGAACCCCTCAAAGCCCACTGCTTTTTCGATCTGGCAAAAGATCCCTGCGAGCGGTTCAACTTGGCCCAACTTTATCCACGCCAACTGCAGGAACTCGCTGAAGAGGTGGCTCAAATCCGGCGAACTGCGATTCCTAGCGCCCGAGTTCCCAAATCGGATTCAAGGGCTGATCCAGCTTATCACAACGGCAATTGGGAGTGGTGGAATAATACGGAAACGAACTCAAGTGCCGGCACTGGTTCGCTGCACTTATGGATTTTGTTAGGAAGTATTATAGGATTAAGTTTGTTGTAATTGTTAACAGAAGTAAGTTCTGTTTAGCTTTATTCTTAATAAAGTTTTTTTAAGTAAATCTCCGTCACGGCATAGTTTTGAAAAAAATGGAAACCAAAGCAACACAGTTTCAAAAATATTTTTAGAAAGAAAATTGATGAGATGCAAGCAACAAAGCAATATATACCCCTTTTTTTTTGAAATACCAAAAATATTGCTAATTTTACCCGAAACTGTTGATATATAGACATTCAGTCGGCTGGATTTTTTAACATTTGTTTTTTGTGGATAGTTCTCATCTGCGTACACATAAATAACTCCTTAGCTTGTGATTCTGATCAGAAATATGGAACCGGAAACGTCTCCTTAGCTGCGTATATATATCCATTTGCATAAGATTTATACATTTATATACTTTAGGAAGCATGAGCTACTAGGCATTACAGTCGGAAATACCTGACCAGATCGAATGGCAGAATATCACGCTTTTGGCTGACACATCACCACGTACAATCGCTGGAGCTGACACCGAGCAATTAGCAGACTCATGACTAAACTGAGATGTATTTTTCGGCTATTTGTTCGGCCAATATCGGTATGTTTGCGTGGGAGGAGGTTGAACTTGGGCTGAGCGGCGGCCAAAAGGGAATACAATTGTTCCAACTGATTAGCCATTTAATGACTTCTGCCCAAGGCCACAGAATGCACTTGAGGTTTGCTTGGACATGGCTGGGACATGGGAAAATCTACTTAACTTGAGTTGGTCAAGATCTGAGAGTCGGTTGCGTTTTGTGGTTGTCCACAAATATGATAGTCAACCCTCAAGTTAGAGGTATTGGAAGGTGACTTTGTGTGGAAACTGAAATTTTTGTTCAGGAGTTTTTTCTACAATCAAGAATTTCAGAGGAAAACGCTTTTATATATAAAGCTAACCTTATAAAGCTAACCTTTCAACTTTTCCAATGAATTATTCAAGAGCACAATGCATTCCCATAGACTCATTAATTTATTAATGAAATATTCAAATGATTGGCTAATTAATAAGATTTAGATCTTAATAAATGGTTGGGGCAATAGTCCATCTTTAGAATATATAAAAAGATGTTTTATTATTAAAATATTGAGATGAAAATGTTGTTCGTATTTACTTAAAACTTAAAATAATAAAAAGAATACATTTTTTGTAGATATACTGAACAATGTTTTAACATAAGTAAATATATAGTTCAGATGTAAATACTATAAATATTGTATGCTTAATTTTTTTTAAATTTTTAATATATCCCCTAGAACTTGTCATTTATTTGTAGCCTAATCTTCGACTCACTGAAATCATTTTAAGTGCTACAATTTAACGCCTCTGAAGCTTGTTACCTTCGGCGAGCTCAACGAGGCTTTCAACTCGCTCACGTTAATTGCATCTCAGTATGTATGTTTTCATAAGCGAAATTGACTTGCCTGAAACCGAATTGAGAATTCCCAGTAATATTAATGATATCTTGGCCACTTGAGAAGGAATCACACAGTTTATATACGACTTTTGTGCAATATTTTATCACAAGGCGCCTGCCTATGAGTGTGTGGAAATCGATTTTATGGCAACTATAAAACGCAAAAGGTTCCCACAGCTAGTGAATAAGATGCGAAATAAACAGGCAGAGTAATTGTTTTTCATCTTTTATTATTTATTATTTATTTCTATTTTCGTCATGCAACTTAACGGAAAATACGGGGGTGGGAGCGGGCGGTTGTTGTTAACACGGCCATAAAAGTGCTAACCAAGCCAACAACTAAATTGAGCGTTTTTAACCGCGCTGTGGAGTGTAAGTTAAGCTCCCTCGAAAACTTAGGGGGCTGGAGCTATTTGTGTATTGGCAGTCAACTTTTTGACCTTAGCTAGAAAATTGCTTACGAAATTACTCAAGACTATTTGTTTGGGTAACAACAAAATTAAGCTGTTAATTTCCGAAGGTTGGATGCAATTCACTGAGGCAAAGGAAGATAACGACTTTGGAAGAAAATACATACTATGATGTGCTGCAGTTCAAATAAATAATAACTATATATAATTTTTATTTTAAAACATACATTAAACATATAAACTGACTGATTATATGCAAGATTCTAGTCTGCTGGTTTTTTTCAGAATGTGGGAACGCAAATTTTTTCGAGAAGACATTATTTCATCTTATCCAAAAGAAATATTTTTTTAATCATCTTTTAAATACGAAGCAAATATGTTTCTAATTTTTTTTTGTTAAAAAAAATATATATTAATGTTTAAAAATAGTTTGTTTTTGGGTCCTTTGAAGCCCATGCAACAAAGACCCCGGCTGTCAACGGAAGACTAAACCGATCGCGAACACGTTTTATTTGCTCAAAGAATTTTCACAGCCCGATTCGACGAAGGGAAGCAGGTAAAGAAACCGAAAAATATATGAATAAATATAAGAAAAGTTTAAAAACTTTGAGAAGTATTTACGGTTTGTAAGCGAGCATATCCCTTCTCTTTTGCACCTGCAGAGCTAAGCTCCCAAAACGCTGAAGTCGGAATTATTGTAATTGCGAGAGACAAGACCAGCAAAAGCCGAACAACGAAGCTCTTTGTAAGCGAAACTTATAAAAAACCGATCGCTCCGACTGATCCCACAACCAGTTTCAAGTCAGCTCTCAAGCGGTAGAGTCGTCGCCGTCCACATTCAGTAATTTTACCCCGTTCCACTCACACTCTGTAAGGCGATATCCAAAATAAGGCTAATCTATAGGCCACAACGTGAAAATCATCTATTCCTTCCTACGCGAAATATCCCGATGAACTAAGATCTGGAAAGGATAAATTTACCTTGGCAACTGTGACGCAACGTTTAAAACAAATGTTAAAAGCAAAACGGCAAAAAAAAAGTTGTTTGCCATGGGAGAACTGCAATTGACATAACAGCAACAACATCAACAATCAAATAAAACTCAATAACAATTATCAACTGCGAGTGACTCTCAAAACAAATGCAAGAAACCTGTACTAAAAAAAATCGAGATTAAATATTAACGAATATTGCATAAATTGATATATCTACGTAAACTTAGCAAGCTCATGCGATTTGAATGAAAAAAAAAGAAAAATAATAAAATAAACAAAAAAAACATCGTGGATAATATTTGGTTATTTTGTTAATGGATATTCGAAAGTTATGTTAATTAACTAAAATTTATCAATGGAAATACTCTAAATGAGTAAAAAAAAAACTAAACAAAATAAAATAAGTTAAATAATTAGTTGATAAATATATATGTTAAATATATTTTTAACAAATATTTTTCTTCTTTTTTTTTAGCCACACACTCTCAAAGTTTCTGTGCATTCAAGTGCAACTAAAATAAGTAGCTGTTTCTTTTGTGTTGTTTTGCCTTGTGTTTTTGCAAAACAACAACTTGGAGGCAATTTACATAGGCGAACGCTGAGAAAAGAAAACCGCCAAAATTGGTTACCTAACGAAAACTTCGTTTGTGCTACGGGACGGCAAACTTGTAAGTAAACTAATATGTTTATTTATCAATGTAACCACCTAACAAAAAAAATTACTGTATCTTCCTGCATTAAAAATAGGTTTTTAAATCATGTTATTCTACTCTATGTTTCACATGAATATAGGAAAAAACTTCGAAATGATAAGTCAGCGATAAAACATGCAGCTATGTGTTCGAAGTCAAAAACATTTAATTTTATCAGTTTTTTCCTTACTTGTCGAAAAAAAAAAGTTTGATCTATTCAGGATATTTAATGTCTTAAAAAACTGAAAGTATGAGACTCAGAACCCAAGTTTTAAGTGCTCTATTATGATGTGTAGCACGTATAGCTTAACAATTACCATAAACTTAATTGGTTTCAGCTTACAGTCAGCAGATGGAGTGATTCCGCCCCTCCGCCAACGCCCGTCATTAATGGCGACTTTCAGATGACTTACTGTCATCTCGGGCACGATTCTCAGGCAACATGATAACGTCGAATGAAAAATAGTGAAAAATTCAGACAGTGTGAGAACATTTTTTAATAGCCCCGCGCCACTTGGCGAACTCAACTGCGGCTCAACTTATTTGAATTTGGCGAATAATGTTCGAAATGAGATGTCGCTTACCAGCTAGTTGAGAGGAGGGGGCTGGATTGCTCAGCCTGAAATTACTTTTAATTAGCATTTAGAACATCGCAGTCTGCTTAGATGAATCAGAGATGGGGCGGTACTCGTAAATAAGCCACTATAATTAGATAGCAATTTTTGGGGCAGGCTATTACTTTGATTTATTTATTTTGATTGCTCTAGCTTCAACTGGAAACCCTTGGAGTGGGCCTTATGCGTCGTAGGCAGCCGAAGTAACTTTTTAAGAGCCGTAACTGACAACAGCCACCGCCGATAATGAACGCTTGTCTAGGCGCCTTGCGTTGGCAGCTTCGCCACGTTGCCAAAAGTGGGTCATGGTTAAGTGTACTTCGGTCGCTTCGCGGTACGGTTCGGTTCGGTTCGGACCCGGCTTAGAAACAGCAAATGGTCGGCCGAAACCACAGCTTCGCATGCGCACCACTCTTTAATGTTCACCCTCATTTTATAGCTGTATAACTATCAATAGTGGAGAGTATTAATGACAGATCCTACACGGAAGAACCTTGAAAGAAATATGTAGTTGAGTGCCTAGATCTGTAATTGATTCATGAGATATATGGATTTTATATTATCAAGAAATGGCAAAATTTCCAAATTTCATTGGTTGACTCTTTAATGTGTTGCTGCTGCTGAAAGTCATATATATTATTAAGTATTAAAATTATATTTTATTATAAGGCATTTTTTATTAGGCATTTCATAATTCATTACACATTTTAAATTAACTCTGTTTACTTATTATTTTATATTCAAAACCGTTAGATGTGCCTCACTCCTTAATTAATTAATAAGTATCAAATTAAAGCTATGTATGTGTAAATAATCCTTATCTGTTTTTATTGTCTAGAACTGTCGTGCCATCAAGAACCTCTGCATATATTCCTATCCCAAATCCCTTGCATCATCTTCCTTGCATCAAATTCCTATTGGGATTCGTCTCCAATAAACAAAAGTAAAAAATCTAAAATTAATATCCGAAGATAGTTTAATGACAACCTATTAATCCTTAATAGGAAGACGATATGGGCTTCAGTTCGCGAATGGACTGCTGCGGGCAGTTCGTCAAGTACAGCCTTTTCGTAGCCAACTTTGTGATATTCGTGAGTATCTCCTAAAGTTACTAATCTGTTAAATAAAATAAAATTTTCAATCATTTCCAGGTGGGTGGAGCCATTGTCTTCTGTCTTACCCTATGGACCCTCGTGGATCGTAGCTTTGTCAACGAGTTGCTCGGAACAAACCTCTTCTCGGGAGCTGTCTATGTCCTGCTCGTTACATCAGTCATCATCTGCCTGGTGTCCTTTTTGGGTTGTGTAGGTGCTGGAAAGGAGGTCAAATGCCTGCTACTTACGGTGAGTATATTTAAGATCAAAGAACCTAAACAGTTTTAAAGATTTATGGGAGAAGAATCGATTTTGTCAATACCTTTGACGCATTTTTTAACTGTCTTCCTACAAAGATACATTTTTATTTTCAATTTTCAACTTAAATTCAAAAGGCAGTTTTAGTGTGCCAATCGTTTTATTTAAACTTAAGTTCTAATAAGAATAATCTGCCAAAGATAAGGTAATGCTTTGGTTTTTAATTTTTTTTAATTTGTTTCTTATTAGAGTTACCCAGTTATTTACTTCTTAAGAAATTTGCAAAGACCATTTAACATGTACCTTAACACCTCTTTTTCCCTTCGTAGTATTTCATAATCGTGGCTTTAGTTTTCGTCACCATGCTAATTGGCGGCGTCTTGGGTTACGTGTTCCGTGAACGAGTCCAGCAGACCATGCGGCAGGTGAGTTTCATCCCCAATAATTGTGTGCCACACCACTCCAACCTGTATAAATTCCCATAGGAAATGCGGTCAACGATGGCTTTATATGGCAGCAGGAGGGAGATCACCCAGGCCTGGGATTTGACCCAGGAGCGGCTGCAGTGCTGCGGAGTGGACACGTGGCACGACTGGAATAGGTATGGACCGGTGCCCGAGTCCTGCTGCCAGGAACTTTTTGGAGGCCAGCGCAAGGAGTGCACCATCTTTCCCACCATCACGAATCTGTATAACCAGGGCTGTCTCTATGTGACGACCAACTTCATCAGGGATCATGCCGCGGTTATTGGCGGCACCTCCATTGCGGTGGCCATTCTGATGGTAAGACAAATAATATTTTATTTGGTTCCATTTTAAATAAATCCTCATCCTTACTTTCAGATCTTTGGAATGATATTTTCGTGTCTATTGTTCAACATGATCGAATAGAGGCAATGAGATACCCAGGCCCACATTCCCAAAGAGTGTATGATAAAGTTGACTCCACGCAGTTCAACTGTCCGTTTGTATTATGTATGTATATACGTATTTAGATAAGTATTCAAGAGCGATTATTCGGATTGTATTGTTATTATCTGTTGCATAATTTTGTATTATTTCTTTGTAATTCTGTAAATTTAGTCGTAAGCCCCCGTAACCAATACCCCGATTCTTAGCTTTAAGTAATCTTATCTAATGTTTATCAAGAATTTGAATGTCCGCCCATTGTTGTTTCTAATAAAATTAGTTGAAAAAAAACCCATTTGGATATGTGGCGGCTTGCTTTGTTTTAAAGTTATTAATTAATGACACAAAAAGTGGTCGTAATGCGCTGTTAGGGCGCTGAATTTGGTTTAAAACTGTGTTTAGCCTGTTAAGTGCAAATTTAAATATTTTGTTGATTAATTGCTGCGCCTACTCTCATGAACCCTCCCCAGGGGTCAAGGCCACACCTGGCTTACTTTTGGCGACCAAACACCTGCGAAGGTGCAACCTAAACTTCATCTGGCCTGGCACAAAAAAAGTACCCACTAGAGATTGGCACTTAAAAACAGACTGCTCTGGAAATTCCCCGAAAACTTATATGTTGCGTACTTTTGGGCCGAGAAAAGTTAACAATGAATATGAAATGCCCCCAAAGATATGCAATATGATTGAGTTGTTATTGTTTTTCAGCTCCTATAAATCTTTTAACAAGTAAAAGAAAACTCTCATGCGGAAATCCTGGAAGTAATACATAATTCCCTTCACCAAATACTTCGAAACCATTTTACACAATAGCAACAAATTCAGTTTAATGTTTATGTACATTTTATACATATAACCCTACAAACTAATTGTGTGTTTGAATTGTTCATTTTGGTACAAATTGCACTTGATCAATGCTCTTCATTGATCGCTAAAGTTCTTCGGTTGCCTTGACTGGTGGGCTGTATATGCTTTAAGTACAAAAGTCAATTTTTTTGGAGGCACTTAAACAAACTTAGCCTATTCTGCTTGATTGTAGACGGCGACATTGTTTCTATTCAGTTTAAAATAGGTCTTAGCGAACTAGGAAGGGGGTTTTGGTGCTACGACTCACAAGCTATCACTTGGACATATCACAAAACTGGTCACTCCCCTGCATCCCCTTCCAGGGAAGTCGGGAACAGGATCAGTATCAGAATGACCCTCTCACGCCGTTCGACAGGCATTGGCATATTCCACACAGTCGTGCAGCGTGGGAAAGATCTCGAAGGGTCCTTCGCTGAGCGCCATACTATGCACCAGGGTGTCGTACACCCTATCTACGGGGCTGGCCAGCAGCAAACGGGCTCCTCGCGCCTTCAGCTCCTTGCTCACATCGGTGAGAGTGCGACATCCGGCCACATCTATGTGCCCCAGCATGGAGAAGTCCAGGATGAGCATCTTGAACCCACCAGATGGCTGCTCTGGCTGGACATTGATGGCCTTCCCTCCGTTCTGCGACACCGGGGAATAGCTCGATTTGCTGCCCTTGCTGGGACTACTACTGTTGCTGCTGCTGTTGCTGTTCTTTGCCGGCGGAATCTTGTCCAGACCGACCGCCTCGTACAGGGCACGACGGAAGAACAGACTCGTCGCAAAGTTCAGCGACCCACTGTAGCGGAAAATACGTGTCTCGGGCACCTGCATGGCATTCCGATGCTGGTTGAGATCCATATAGATTCCCGGTGCCTCTGGCATGTAACCCAACAGGCAGGAGTAGGGCTTCAGGCCCTTGATATAGAGGGCCAGCAGGGAGATGCAGATGCCGATCAGTAGACTGTATGGTAGTAAGGATAAAACTAGTAAACTAGTACAACTGGCATTCAGCATTAAATTGAGACTCACCCGATGTCAATGTCGATGATCACCACGCAGAGGAAGGTTGATATCCAGGTGAACATCTCCAGCTTGCCCTGCTTAGAGAACTTTTTCAGCTCCTTGGCCTGCATAAACATCGGCTTCAAAGCCACTATAATCACGCCAGCCAGAACGCACTGAAAAAAGCACATAATATATAAATACTTTGAAACTTAAAATGGGAATGGCAATGCTGTACTCACCCTGGGTAAACTGCTGAAGAAAGGGCCAATCCACATGAGTGTGACCACCACCAGCGAGGCGGAGACCAATGAAGCGATCTGCGACACGCCACCCGTTTGATCCTGGATCACGGACCTCGACAAGGAGCAAGCCATGGGAATGCAGGAAAAGCAGCCGCCCACCATGTTCCCAATGCCCATGGCAAACAGTTCCTGATTCGGCCTGACCTCATATCCATGCTTCTTGGCGAACGTTAGACCCATGGACATGATTATCGAGTAGGTGACAATGGCAATGGCTATTGAATCCACGGCCACCTTTGGCACCAGATCCAGGCGCGGCAGAACTGGCTCCGGCAATCCGCTAGGTATGTTTCCCACGGGATTAACCTTGTAGTCGACATACAGGTTGAACCACTTGGAGATCAGGGTGCCCCCGATCACCATAATTAGCTCAGCGGGCAGGGGAAAGCGACATCTTTTACTCAGGCGCGGCTTTAGGCACTCATTGCAAATCATCATGAACAAGATCACCGCCATGCAAAAGCCAAAGTTCACAAGATTCGTTTCTGGCACACCCTTGATCACATCGATAACGCTGAATATGATCTTGAAGGCGCCTTTGTGGCGGGGCACTGAGATGCCTAGCACATCCTTTAGCTGCGCGGTGACCACGTGACATGCTGCAGCAGTCGTGAAACCATTGACCAGAGGTTCACTCAGCAGGGACGACAGGGTTCCCAGTCTTAGGAAAGCCATGAGGAGCTGTTGAATGATTAGAAAAAATTAATAACAATTATCATTCATAACAGACTTAAGTCTAAACAGTTAGCTGACATTGTCTGAAGATAAGTACTATATTGTTTATCACATTTAGTGCATCACTACTATTATTATTTGCTGCTTATTGCTTATATCAGCTTAGAATAATTCGAACTCCTAGAACACATAATAAATGCCAACTTACGTTTACAATGCCCACGGCAAGGGCCAAAGAGGTAACCACCTCTACTTTTGTGATGGGATCAGCAATTGCAGTCAACTGCTGAAAAGGTGATGAACTGGCTGTTCCATTAAACACCGAAAGAGATGATGCGGTCGTCGAGGCGATGGAATCCGCAAATGCAGAGGTTGTGTTAGCCCCATTCGACAGAAACCCGTGAGGATGATCCTCCACGTTGGCAAACGTGTCCACCACCTTCGCCGTCATCATGCTGGCCACCGCAAAGGTGCCAATTGATATGTGCTTGGAGGTGCCGAGGAACATGTAGACCAGCACTGGAAACACCGCCATGTAGAGACCGTTTCCGGCCGAAACTCCTGCCAACATGCCATACGCCATGCCATGGGGTATGTTCATAATGGCAACGGTGAACCCGGCGATAATGTCGCCCGGAAGATCTCGCCTGGGTGAATACTGGGGTAGCCATTGCAGGATGGGAATCACGCCGGTGAAGAGTGCGAAGAAGTTCCAGCTGTGCCAGCAGTTTCGCAGGGAGGAGGGAATACTCTTGTCCCTGGCCGCATAGCCCGTTTGCTTGATCACCACCTCGTGGGTTAGCACATCCCGATGGATGCTGTATTTTGGCTGGATCTTTGGCTTACTCGTTGCACTACCACCATTTCCGTTTGTGTTGTTATTGTTCAGTGGCTTGGTTCTGCATGAAAATAAATAATTTTAATTTAGTTAATTAAATACAGAACAACCTTATTAGAACTTACTCTTGATTCTCTTTATCACTAGGCATTTTGGCTAAATCTTCCACTACTTCTATGTCCTTTTGGTTGCTGCCGCATTCCACATTGGTATCTCTGAAGGGGTGGATGTGTAGATCGCGTTCAAATTGCAACTGCCTGAAGCGAACAACCGGGCAATTTGGATCCGGATCAGCGTCTTGAGGTTTCTTGGGTACTGTTCCAGTGACTCTGTTCGGTGGGCTTTCCTTATGTTTAATGGGTATCAGTAAAGTGCCAGCTTTGTTGTCGAAAGGAGAATGCTGGAAACTGTTTTCTATTGGTAAGTGACGCCGCCACTTTTGGCGATCGTGCAAGTCTTTCAATCGCTTCCAGGCACCTTTGGCCAAGGACTTATGATGGTGTTTTGGTTTCTGAAAATAAAATAAAATTACATCAAAAAAACCGAACAAAAATATTAAAACCAAAATAATAATCTCTGAAAATTAACATGTAATTTAAAATTGTGTTTGATCTTAAAGTCTGGGTTTAAGTAAACGGTTTTTTATAAAAAGCACCTTATCTCAAAAAATAAAGAATAATTATTTTTTAATCTCTTAAAGATTTTCAAGTACTTGTCCTAATTTGTTTGTCTTATCAACATTGACACTTTGAAAGCAACTAAAATCGAGAGATAGTATTCGTTGGAAAATTTTCGACAATCCACTTGGATGGAGCTCATACATTAAACCGAGAACTTTGCGACAGCAGTTAGATAACATCAATCAACCTCAAATAATTAGCATTACTTTTGACCAAAAAACAACGGGCTGCTACTCTTATCACCCACCAAACACGACTGAACCATGTACCATAATTGGGTGATATTTAAATACAATATAGAAGAATTCGTGAACTGTTTCCGCTAAATTGAATCATGATTTCATAGCGAATGCTAATTGGTTAAATTGTTTGATCAACATGCGTTTTCTTGGTGACCGCAAACCCTTTGTCGAAATTTTTAGAATTGTCTGAAGAAATATTCGCTATTGGCCTTTATTACGCATACGCTGCGTTGACAAGTGTCTACCGTTGACGTATTTTCAGAAGATGTTCATCATCAATTACCGTCTAGCGAAAGTCACTTGCTAAGTGCTCAATAAAGTAACGTACACTTGCGATAAATGGGACAACAGTAGAGGGCATTATGCGCATTTTTTCATTCGTTCCATTGGCGCAAATCATAATCACCTACAATAATCGGTTCATGGTAGATAACTTTAATGGCCAATGTCTGGATTGGCAGTTCAAGGGCTTATAATAGACAAATGGTGTAAATACAATAAACAAAAAAGCTGGTGTCAAACCTGAGTAAAAGTAGGATTGTATTAAAGCGGTTAAGCCCACACTCCAATCTTACGTTGGGAATATTTTGTTGCTTAATAAAGTAGTAATTATTGAGAACAGCACGTAATACCCTTAGAACAACTAATTTATCACAGGTGGTCAAATCACAGCCGCGATAATGTAAAGTTCTACTCATTAGCTTACCTAAAAGTCCCCGTTACCAACTGACACAATTCCCGCTAAGTGACCATAAAACGGCACTCCATAAACAAAAGTAAACAACTTCATAAACCGGATCTACAAAGTGGCAGCCAGACAACAAAACCAAAACTAATTCCAAAAATGTATTTTAAAAGCTGTGTTTGGCAATATCACTTGCATCATACCATTACTTCCCCGTATTGTTTTCATTCAAAAACCGTTGAAACGTTGCTATCAATGTCAAGTTTAACGCATTAAAAGGTCACTGTGAAAATAAAGGTAACGCCAGTTATATGCTAAGCATTTGAAGCCAATCAGGGGATTAAAAGATCACTGGCCTATTGAGATCAACATTCTTAATTGCATTTGCATTTTAAATTGTGAATTGGATCTGTGATGCTTGTTGCTTATTCATTATATATATTAAATCATTCATAAAAACATTTTTTTTGATTTTAAAAACCGAAAACATACAATTTTAAATGATTGATTTCCCCCACAAAAAAAAAAGTTTACTTCCCATCGCCGAATCAGGTTGTCATAATTTCAATTGCATATTTCTCTCTCTCATTCGCTCGATTTTTGAAAGTAATGACTAATACGAAATTGTTTATAAAAAGCGAGCTCATTATATATAGAACAAGCCGAATCCGGTTTAATTGTTGTACTGCCGTAATTGCGGGACCTCATTAGTTCTTCCAACGAACCGGTTACTGTGGAAACAGAGTGCAAAAAACGGGATCGCACATTTGGCCTTAACCAAATGGCTTATGCAATGGGCCTAAACGCACATGACCAAAGCGAGATTAGCGCAAAAGGGAATCGAAGGGAAGGGTAAAAGCGGTATATAGTTATAACATTTATACACATATACACAAGTGCCTGCGCGAAAAATCGCTGCTGAGCTCTTATCGAAAGTGTCCACTTTGCTTATCAGCAGCACGAGCACTTCATCAGCCTTTGTTAATCAGTGTTTTAAGTCCGACACAGTAACAAAAATACTATTTTAGCTTTCTAAAACATCTTCCTTAGTTTCTTCATTGATTAGAAAATTCTTAAATAACACGAGGAAAGCCACTCATCAACAAATTATGAACATAATACAATAACGATTCTATTATATATTTATATAAAATATATAGACAGTTTTTTATTTTTAAAAAGTAACTTTATATTTATGCTTAATGTGTCAACCAATTTAATTTTAAGACTATTTCGGTAGGACACCTACTTTAAGTTGTTTTAACTTAATGTGTGCAATAAAAAATGCTGATTAAGGTGCTTTAATAATATTTTCTGATAAAGCCTTTTAAACTTTTAAGACTATTTCGGTAGGACACCTACTTTAAGTTGTTTTAACTTGATGTGTGCAATAAAAAATGCTGACTAAGGTGCTTTAATAATATTTTCTGATAAAGCCTTTTGAACTTTTAAAATAAAAATTCGAGTAGGGTAAGCTAAGAACATTTTCCTGGTTACTTTTGTTTGTGTAAATTGAATCTCACTTTTGGAAACCTGAAGGGGATTCTCTGGGCAGGTGTTTACCAATATATTGACCCTGTTCTTATCAGTAACTAATGACCATGAAATAGTTACAGTAAGCTTTAGCATTCCCACATTTCTAGCCACCATATGCACGGCTTTCGATATCAATTTATTGGTTACGTAATCGGTAAACGAAATGTCACAGATAGAGTAGACAATTTTTATGTGAAGTTTACGGAATGAAGTCAGTCGAACGGTCGTACGTACTTCAATCATGTTGATTGATTCGCTGTGACATCAGAATCCAACTTCTTTGATCTGGCTACAAAAGAAAACTGAGGCAAATACTGAAAGTCACAGTCCGATCCCGAGGTTTGTTTTGCCCATTCAGCTGATGCTGTCAGCTTGATGTGATAAAACTGACATTGGAGTACATAAACGAGCATTTCTTGGCAAAATATTTGTCTGGCTCTGGGGAAAATTTATGGAGCACGCGAGCTTTTTATAAACTTGATTTTTTAAGGAATTAATCAGAAGTTAAACAGAAGCTCTCATTTTATTAACTTTTACTTTGTGTTTTTTACTGAGCAATCGTAGTAATATTTGTCTAGAAAGTGCGTTGCCCGGATTCACTCGTGTCATACATTTATGTTTAAACGGCATTGTATTTCACAAGTGAAAAATGAGTCACTTTTTATTAAGCCCAAAAATTATTCGATAGAAAGCGTCGGCACGCGCTTTTATAAGACGATTTATTTTAACAACTAAATTGATAAATAAAACAAAATAATAAATACAAAAAAATTATATTTTTACTATTTTATGCCATAAAATTATTTATTAAAATTTATCGTATAAACCGCATACTAATATTTCCCCTGGTATGGGTCAAGTGTATTATTTTGTCTTTTAACTTTATTTCTAGACCCGTTCCTCAACATTTTGAGTAATAATGCTACGCATTTAAAATAGGGTCAAAGATCAATTAGTTGGAACATGTTTGTCTTTGGGGTTGGATCGTGCGATATATAATATATGTCACGCCCTTATCAGCAAAATAACCCTTCCTTCATCGATTTGACCAAAGAATTGCAAACAAAGTGCCTTACAAATTTGCCGCGCATTATATGTTTAGCTTCCGTTTAGATACGAATTGCATTCATATTCACGGGTTGGACTTTGAGTTTCCCTTGTTTAGCTTCTGTGGAAGTGGAAATGCTGTTGCGGCAGTTGGCAGATTTTTTATATCTCTTTGTTTAGATTTCGATTGTGCGGCATATATTTATTTGTGTATGGTAGAGAAGGGTATAACTGGGGGAGTAGATGGTGCGTTGGGGCAGCAACATTTTCCATTTTCCCTGCTGTGCGCACGCACGAACTTCTAACAAAGCAATAGAAAAAAAAAGACAAATAAAAATCAATTGAAGAATAGTTTAATTGATAAAAAATTGTTAACACAGTGCTATCAGTTTAAATTCAAAAATATTAAAAATTAACTCCAACAATTAAAGTAAAATACATTCAAACTCGTTTTCATATCAGGGTCATTTTCTTGATTATTTTCATTAATTTATCATGTCTATTACTTTATCGTGTCATGGTATATTAAGGGTTGATGTCTAAAGCTAGCGAAAAACTTAATTTAAAAACTTTGGCACAAAACAGGTGTTAAATTGGAGAGTTTTATGAGTTGCCCGGTCGTGGCCAATTTTTACAGCTCACGTATTGACTGATAATATATGAAATAATTAACTAGCGATTACGTGTGAATTTTTGTTTTAAATAATTTATTTTCTAGTAAGTTAAATGTATTTATTCACTTTTTATTAAATATTGATCAAAAGTTTGTACTTTTTTATGAGAACTCAAAATAATATTAAAATAACAATTTTTTTGCGGTTTGATGTTACATTTTTGTTTTCTAACTAACCCACAATATTTAAATTTTTTGTTAGAGAAAAAACCAATTAGGCGCCTTTTATTATTTGCTTTTCACAGAGCTGAGGCTTATCAGCCCATCCTAATTTATAGAGGGCATTTACAACGAGTGACGCCACAGGTTGGCAAAAAGTCGCCAAAAACCAAGAACATCATAACCATACTGTATGCGTCAGTATATAAGAAACCATGTATAATCTCTATGTGTATATGTATGTTTGCCCGATGACTGTGTGTCAAGTGCAAGTGCACTAGAAAAGTACAAAAGCGTGCGAGGGTAGGAAACAAAAACAAGTAAAAGCAATAAAGGCAATAAAAAATTTGAAGAAATACATATACAATTTGATTGTACCAAATTGTCGAGAAATCGAAAAGCAAATGTTGGGCGATATTTGTGAAAAAATGTCAGGATGAAAGAATCTCTCCGTCGTTTACCTTAAGAAAACTAAATTATTTTTTTTTTGGCACTCGATTCGGTTGCCAAACAAGTGCAGCTGTTGTTGCTGTTGTTGTCGTTGTCGATTTGTTGGCACCTATTGATAGCGCCCGTTGTTGAATAGTTGTTGCCTTTGTTATTGTATCACTTGTTGCCAGTAAAAAATTTGATTAACACCTTTCTGGCGCATGCATTGTGGAATTAAATGAACTTTTAGCACTCTTTAGTAACTTTTTGTTCCGCCAACACAATTATCACTTATATAAAACTGGCTAAAAGGTCCGCACAATGTTAAATAGATTTTGCACAACTATTATAGTTTAGAATAAGCTCCGTTATTAAATTATTATTCATTTTCCCCTATTTAACCACAAGTTTAGATATTTGTGTTATTTTGTAACGCCGAAAAGCGTCGCTTGCGACACACGTAAAATGTTTTGTCGTCGTTTTACCCGATGTTGTTGCTGTAGTTGTTGCTGTAGTTGTTATAGTTGTAGCTATAGTGTTGTCGGGAGGGTCGAACGCCAATAAAAGATGCTCGCGCCAAAAGTAATTAATTGCGGAACACGCGACAAAAGCAAAACGTCGTTCGGCTGACCCAGTAAAACTAAAGAAACAAATATTGAACACTCAATCGGCAAAGCTTTCGTACGGAAAGCTTTTAACAGCTGTTTGCTTTCTTGCTATTCTATCGCTTAAAATATCGCACATGGTTTTTGTTTGTAAAATAAAATGTTACTATAGCCTGATTCCATTGGCGCATCAAAAAGCATTTAGCTTAATGCGCAATTGTTTACACAGGTTCTCCCAAAAAGGTTAATGCCGCATTTAAAATAAACGCGAAAATTAAGTACGAATGTATTAAGAAAATATACCGCAAAATACCGATGTTTAACGATATGTCGTTAGGGCCACCACTACAACAGCTGGCTTTTATATGCAAAGTTGGCGCGATTTTTGATTTCTTTAGAATATAAAAGCTATTTTGCATACAAATTACTTAAAACATGAGCAAGCGCAGAAAATCCTGTTTGATCCACTATTGCGCCAGTGGAATCAGTGTATAAAACCCTCCTCATAATTTGTTGTGTATTTTTTTAAGAGCCGGTTGTTATATTGCAACTGCCGTTGTACGGTCACTCTAAATGAGAAGAAAAGGTAGCCATGACAACAGAAAGTTTTTTCTTGTTCGATAAATCCTTCTCGTTTCACCGGCCATTGAAAATATAACTAAAATAGAAGCATAACAAGGAGATCCTCAGTATGGACAAGCCTCAGCTGATCGAGCACCTGCACGAGGCGGTTAATTACACGGTGTACGACACCAAGTGGGTACCACTTTCCGCCAAGTTCGTGGTGCTGGGCTCCAAGGCTAACGGGCATGGAATTATGGATATCTATGAACTTAACCAGGACAAACTGGTAAAGGTGAAGTCCGTGGAGAAGAAGGTGGCCTTTAAGTGCGGCACCTTCGGAGCAGCTTCGCTGCGAAACCGCCACATGGCCATCGGAGACTTCGAGGGCAGGCTGCAAGTGCTGTAGGAGTGGTAACTATTGAGCCAAACGAAAACGCCTTTAACACGTGTCATTTGCAGGGACATGGAGCAGCCAGAGCTGCCGGTCTACAATGTCAAGGGTCACAGCGGCATCATCAATACCATCGACGCCATCGGGGGCACTCAGATCGATTGTGGGGCACCGGAAATCGTCACCGGCAGCCGGGATGGCGCTGTAAGGGTCTGGGACATCAGGCAGGGGCAGGCCCCTGTGGTGGACATGTCGCCGCCACCGCAGATGGGCGATGGCGTCAACCAGAGCAGCGCTCGTCGGGATTGCTGGGCCGTGGCCTTCGGGAATACCTACAACGCCGAGGAGCGCATCGTTGCCGCCGGCTATGATAACGGTGATCTGAAGATATTCGATCTACGAACGCTTTCCGTGCGCTGGGAGGCCACCATGAAGAACGGAATCTGCGGCCTGGAGTTCGATCGCCGCGAGATTCCCATGAACAAGCTGGCGGTGACCACTTTGGAGGGCGGCCTCCTTGTCTACGACATGAGAACCCAGCACCCGACCAAGGGGTTCAGCTATGTGGAGGAGAGGAACGCCGGGCGCAGCGTGGGCACGAATGGCGTGATCAGTGGACCCAAGGCCACCGTGTGGGCAGTGCGTCATTTGCCCCAGAACAGGGATCTCTTTATGACGGGCGGCGGAACTGGCTCCGTTCGCCTATGGCAGTACGAGTATCCAGATAAGAGGGTCATCGATGATTCGGACGGCAACAAACTCGGAGTGGCTGGAACCCTGAACATGGTCACTGCATCCACGTTGAGCTCTCAACCGGTTCACTGCTTCGACTGGCATCCCGACAAACTGGGCCTAGCCGTCTGTGGCGCCTTTGATCAGAGTGTCCGGGTTTTAATTACCACCAAATTGAACACATATTAAGGAGTTAAAATCTATAAAACGGAAGAGACTAAGAAAACATCTCATTCTTATGATATCAGATGCTTGGTAAATGCATAGCTTTATATTTTTATGACTATGATACAGAGAATTTATTTGCCTGAAATGCAGATTGTGGTCCTTAATGCTGAAATGTACACTCCATCACACAAATTAGATGAGCTGCTTGACCTGAAATATAAGACTAAACAAAACTAGCATCGCATAGATAAACAACGAAATAAATTAGAACACAAAATAGCTCTTCATTTGTTAACCAGATATATATTTTTATGTAAAGCCAGATGGAAATGCAGTGCTAACCACTACGATCGAGGCACATTCATACGCTCCTGGACTATTTTCGTCAACTCTTCGATTCGCTTTTCCAGCTCCATAACCTTCTCCGTCTGCTCTGTGGGCACATCCACATTTATGGCCCTTTTTAGGGCATTCAAACAAGATGTTCCCGCCAATCTGGCTGAGTTGAGCTGAGAGGTAATCATTACTTCACTTTCATCCGGGATGTGCTCTTCAATGGACGCCACTGAGAGCTCGCAGACCTCTAGACAAAGGTCCAGAGCCTTTAAGGCATGCTCCGGTTTGGTTTCCCATCCCAAATGTTTCGGTGTGTATGCACGATATGATTTCACCAGTTTTTCGGCCTTTTTCAGCGGTGACGGAGCCACCAAAGCGGCCAGTTCCCAGACAAGAGGCTCATTTCCGTGCTGGATGCTCTGCTGTCCAAGCAGCTTCCTGAGTCTCTTGACCAGAGAACCGGCGCCGGCGGGATCCTCCTTAGAAATGCCGTAGACAATCCGGGTGAGCACCTCCTGGTCGAGGTAGTGCTGCTTTAGCTCTGCCATACGCTGGTACGCCCGCATGGCATCCTCCCAATGGGATGTGTCCACGGCCACCAGCATGTAGTTTTCCCAAACCTTCCAGTTGCTGTAGTTGCACTTGAGGGCTTCGCCCAGAACGCGATGGGCCCGCTGTTTGTCACCCAACTTAATCAGAGCCTTGGCCAGGTTGTTCCACGACTCAAAGCCGTTGGGTTCCAGGTGAGTGTATGCCAGATAATGCTTAACAGCCGCCTCCCAGCGTTCCAGTTGAATGGCGCAGTAGCCACAGCGCAAAAGGATCGCCTCCTGCAGGTTGTTTATCTCCAGCGAGATCTCAAAGTGATCCATGGCCTGGGCATAATCGGCACTCCGGTAAAAGTAGTTGCCCCAATAGGCTTGGGCTTTGCCGCTTGTCTTTTTGGAATGCAACCAAGCCTGCTCGTAGAAGTTTGGATCATCGATGGCATCGCCCAAAAGGCAGTACAGCAAAGCCGTGGGCTTCTTCTCCAGCTCCTGCCGGATAACCTCCGCCGCCTTGTGACGGAGTTCCAGACTCGTGTAGCACTCGATTACCTGCTGCCAGGCGTGTATGCGAAGGCAGATGTCCAGGGCGGTCTTGGTCATGCCCAGGGATCGCAGCAGGTCCACCAGTTGCAGCTGCACCTGCCACTTGGGCCTCAGGTGGGAGGCGAAGCCGTAGGAGAGTCGGGATCTGAGCGATAGTTCCTCCTCGGAGCTGTCCAGCAGCTTGACGCACTCTTCGCACTGCTTCCAGCTGCGTTCGACGGTTCTCCGCTGTCCCGATTCCTGCAGGCAGTTCAGAAGCAGCGCCGCCTGGCGCACTTGGAAAGGTCCGTGTTCCTGGTAGAGCAGTGTTTGTGTATACGGCTCAAGTTGCTCATCGGCCAAGCGATCCTTGGGCTGAGAGCGTTTTAATTGTTTCCTAAACGAAGGTGCGGGGAAGTTATAAGTACAATCAACGGATAGCTGTGCATACTCACACCTTGGCCAGCACCAGAGCTTGGAGCACACTGGGCAGCGTCATCACTTCGTTGTCCCTCAGCTCCACAAAACGTATACGCTCCAGTCGCGTGTCATCCTCCAAGAGGAGCAGCTTGGGCAGTTTGGTCCGCTCATTTGTACGGATGGCGGTGGGCAGGGCTTCCTGCTCCCCAAGCTGCTCCACTTTGAGGCAGAGCTGTGGAAGAGCCTTTTGCTGAAACTTGGTGCGTACTCCCAGCAAACCCTCAACTTTCAGCTCCACCTGCAGATGGTTGCACAGTTCATCCAGCAGTTGGGCGGCCCTTTCGGACCGGTGAAACAGTAGATAACCATTGGCCAACTCCAGCAACAGCAATGCCTGCAGTTCCCTGCTCTCAAACTGGTTGATTTGGGCCTGAAGAAGCGCAGCTGCCGTTTTGAATTGCTCGTAAAGCGATGCCGCCAGATCGTCGAGGACATTCTGATGCAGCAGGATTAGCCGCAAATGCCACCAAACCAGCACCTAAACATAAGGTGTGTTATTAAACGTATATAACCAATAACTAATCCAAGCAACCTTCGATTCTGGATGGGTTTCGAGCAGTCCCTTGAGTATTTCCCTGGCCACAAGCAACAGCTCTCCAGTTTTAACATTCGGATTCAGTTCCTCTCCGCTGGCTTTGAGTTTCTCCTGTGCATCTAGATCCTTCAAGCTTAGTTCACTATGGATTACTTGAAAATCGTCCACCTTGTCGAAGGGCCCAGTAAAATTGTTTTGAACAAAGGCGAAGATCAAAAGCAGAAAATCGTTGAGTTGCAACGCAGGATTGTCCTTTGAATTGAGTTTTTCGTTTTCCCGCCAGCGCTGCAGGATCCCCCGTAGATCCTCCAATGTCCACAACTTCTGGCGGGTCCACAATTGACGCAGTTGCTCATCGGCTGGCAGATCTAAGGTCAAATTTAGTATGCTTGTCTGGCTTTTAGGTATTATTTCTGGTAATATTTACCCTCAACAGCTACGGCATCGTTAAAATTGCAAATATAATATTCACTAAATATATCAGACACCATTATAACAAGAAATTGTGATGAAATTGTCTTAAATCCACGTGTTTTACGTATTAAAGCCCCAGCTTATTTTCAAGCAAAGTTTACACTTTATAAAACAAACTATGCTTAATTGGTAATTTATCTGTTATTTTTGAATTAGTTTTATGTCAAACTAACTTTTAAAATTACAATAAAAGAGTGTTCTGATTTACAATATTTTGGTTTATATCACGCAGATTGTTTATTAGGGATGAGAGTTCTTGAATTTTTCACGACATATGATGAAGTATCGATAGTTATAGTAACGCAAGTCTGCTATCGATATCGGAATAAACGCAATGAAGCAATGAATACGCGATTCATTGAGTCTGAACAGCTGTTCTTTTTTTTGATTGATGTTAAGTTACCACTGTAGTTTTTGGAGATGCGTTTAAATAATTATCTTAAGATTAAGCCAATGAAAAGGGTCATATTGACATGCAAGCGATCGGTATTTCGAAAATATCAAAACATTTTTTTAACTAAAAATGGTAAGTGTAAAAATACCCAGCAAAAAAAATAATGTTACTAGGCAACACTAGGTCTTGGCGGCACTTTTTAAATCATCAAATACGAAGGTAACTAAAAACAAAGGCATTATTTATAGTCATACGTTAGCCAAATTCGCTTTGCATCGATTAGCTTGGCAATTAATTTTACATAATTAGACGGGCTTACATCATTGCCCAAGTCGCGACGGCGCCAAAACGCAAGTATTTGCTTCAATTAAATAGTTTTTAAAAATATGTGTCAGCCGCACAATAACATTTACATAAGTCACATGCGGCGCACTCATGAATTGGCCAAATTCCCCCTGAATCTGCATAATTGGAGGAGTTAGAGGGGGGACGAAAGGAATCACCTGTGGTAGAGCGCAGCTTTTTTTTTGCATTACCAGAACACACAATGACTAATACAAAGGCGAAGATAGCTTCGTAAAGCTTGGTGGTATGGTATTGGTTTTTTATTTTTTACGTCTTAGTCGCCGCCGTAGCTTCTAAATTTAAATTTCACGGTCAAGGTCGTCGATTGCCGCCGCTATCAGAAAACACGATGGGTTGATGGTGGTGGTGGCGGTGGGGGTGCTGCATTTAAGGCAACGCCACAAAACGCAGTACAGTTGGTGGTGGAGAAACAAAAGAAATCGTATCTGCCAGATACTTTGTATATTCCGGCGAAACCTGATAGCACAAGATGCGATAAAGGGTATCGGGGACGTTTAATTGCAATGTGTGGGGTTATCAGCGGGTAGATATCGTCGAACGGAAAATGATTGAGTTCAAGGCTGCGTTGGCCAAGCAAATCTGTCTATTAATAGTGGTATAATTAACAGTGGTACAAGCAAATTGCATTTGTGTTGTTTAATTCATTTCGTAATTATTTTTATTTGTTGGAAAAACACCTCTTCGTAAATATGTGCATTTCAAATTGCTGAAGAAAGGCTAATCTTCATAAACACCCAATAAAACAAACTAATTATATAGTCTATTATTAATTATTATTGTTGCTAAAATGCATTTAAATCTTTTGTGCTCCTTCTGAAACCAAAAGTACCTAAATAATTAAAATGAGCTTTTCCAACGGTTTGTTGCTTTTTATTTCTCTTAAAGCATTTAAATGTTCAATTTCACCACAGAATAAAACAGAGTAGAAAGCTTTAATCCAATACTCTTATGTTCAAATGTTGTATTATCTCTTAAGGTCTCTCGAACTCTTAGTTTGTCTGGCACTCTTGGCTTAGTCATCAGCCTTTAAGTTTTTGCCATTTTATTTTGGCGCGATTATTCCGCTCTCTCTTTCTTTTTTGTGGAGCACTCTCTTCCACGCCGGCGTTGCATGTCAAATTCCACATTGCATTGCACTCAAACAAAATCGGGAAAATTAAAGCCGGCACGCGGCTTCCAAGTGGACATCATCATGACCCAAAACGGGCAGCTTGCCTTTTCATTTTATTTTTTATCTCCATGCCGAGTTGCAAAGTCGAACGTCAAGTAAGTAAGTACAAGTACTGGCTTAAATTTTTAACATCCATTTAGTTTTAAAAGACCGAAGGCTAACCAAATAGTAAATTCGAATCGATTTCAATATTCTTAAAATATTTTATTGAACGTCAGTGATTAACAGTTCCAGTCATAATTCTTGTTACTCTGTTATTTGTAAAATAAGTTTGAAACGACAATTAGTTTTAAGACAAGGCCTTTTGACTTTACCCTATTTTTAACCTTTACTATTCTTATTATTCCGATAGCTTTCTTTCTATAAAAAAGAATGAAATGAAAAAAACTAAGAAAACTTTTCATCAAAATGGGAAATCACTATTTAACAATGTACAATAGGACTCATATCCCCTCATACCATCATTTCATGTTTATAGAGTTAATTTGATATATTTAAAGGTATTTAAAAGTCCGGCTAGAAAAACATTTTTTGTCAGGTCTTGTTTCGAATTTGCTTAAGTGGTCTTTATAAATAATTTAAAGTTGAAGTTCTAAACACAAAACAGTTGCTCGCTTTCTCCACTCTGTCTCTATTTATATTTATTTATATCTGTTTTTGTTGGTTTAATTGAATTTTGGTTAATTAATATTTTTTTTTTTTTAACGTTTTTAATATTTTATTTTGCCTGTTTTGCCTGCAGTCCAGCCATTCAAGGTCGTTCGGGTTTTGTTTCAATATAAATACAAGCACTGTGTGCTTGTGTGCTTTTGTTATGGCAAATAAATGCAAATAAATATAATTTGTTGTGGCGTTTATTTTTACTTGTTGCTCACCGCTCGCTTGAAATAATTTAATTGCTGTGACATAAAGACGGCTCCAGTTGCTCAAACATTTGGATACTTTACTCAATTATTCTGCTTCCATTTTTATTTTCTGATTTTCGCCCCCCCCTCTGTTCATTCAGCCGCAGAATTGATGTCACTGGGTTTCCATGTCTCCGGCGCCGGCTCAACATTTTTAGCTTCAAATCAGTTTTCACTTTCGCGCCGCAACTTTCACAAAACTGTGTGCCCCACTCGCTGAGTACCCCTAATACCCAGAGGCAGATACAAAGGGGGCTGACTTTGGGGTCAGTAGTTCGGCTTAAAGTAAAATATATTACATGTTTTAAAAGCCCCTCAAAATAAGTCAACTGAAATATAAGTTTGTTCCGGCCTATGAAATTCCCTGCTCATTTTCGCCGCCTTTTGCATTCCACTGTGCGTTGTTTTCTATTTCGTTTTTGCTTTCGCTAAAAGTTAACTGCTACACTTTGCAGTTAAGCTATCTTTACTATATACATTTAAGCAACAAGCTCTTATATTCTATTCAGGAAAATATAATTAATATTGTTAATATTATATTGTATAAAATCATAGTTATTGCTAATGTCAAGTAAAGCTAAAGTCTTTATAACAATAATATTTAAAATTAGTTTTAGAAAATTCATCTTTCTAATCATCAACTATCTAGATTTTAAAAACTAGTTTTATTAATTTAAAAGCAGTTTTAAAATATGTGTATTTTTTAATTTAATTAAAAAAAAATTAAATTTAATGCCTATACAAAAAGAAAGTATTTTTAAGCTACAAATATATGATCATTAAGCTAATAAATGAATAAGTTTAATAAAATTGATAGAATGCTTAAAATTTTTTTAAAAAATGACTGGTATCTTACAACTTGTCTTTTATGCATCGGAAAACTCTGAACATAATAATCCTAATTTTTATTGACCAACTGCTGGCCTGCCCACGCACATTTCGCCTTGAGACATGATCTGATTTGACCTTGCCCGTCTATTAGGAGCCATTATTTCTTGTTTGCCATTCGAGATGGTTTAACTGCTTGATAAATTTTCCTATTTTGCTGTATTGCTGGCTGTTGACTAAAATGCCACACAACGCATGCTAAAAAGTTCTACCGAAATTAATTTATTTCGCACTTAATTATTCAGCGCGAGCGGCACAGAGACGCGCTGACCTTGGACCGCCTTCCCCCAAAAAACGCCCCCTTAGCCCCCCGTCCACTCGCACAGCTACTACTCGTTTCTGGTTGCGATCAAATAACAACAAATCAACAAAGCAAAAAAAGAGGCAGAAGCTAAATTTGATCATACTCTCGGATATCCATTGCCCAGAACCACAATCGTTGAACGGTTAAAAACATTGTAGAGATTGGAGTAACAAACATATATTTATAAAATGGGTTTTATCTTGCTATAACACTATTCAAATAGGAATTCTATGAAATTATTGCGCAGTTGGACAAAAGGTGCTGACTGCAGGCAAAAATCACAAAGTCAACTGAGAAACAGGGACCTTAAGTGATGAGCAAAGCAAGATGGAAAACAAAATATCACAGTCCAACAGCAAAACGAGTCTTTTATTTCAATAATAATAAATAAATATTGTTTTTGTCTTATTTAGTGTTGCGTTTTTTTTTTAATGTGTTAATTTATATTTCTTTCAAAATCTGTCATAGAAAATGTTAGTTCTGCTTTTTAAAATTTGAATATGTAATCTAAAACAAATTTGAGAAGTTTAGGCTAATAAATATGTTACATATAAAATAAACCAGTCCCCATATTAAAAAAATTACATATTTTCTTCTATTCTTTTGTACATAGTTTTATTTGCCTCGTATATTTTAATTGCTACTTTCATCTTTACGGTATAGTCACAACGGATTACGCATTTCAGCCCTGTAAACCCCATTGCAGTATAAACTTGGCAAATTACCTAAGCACAATTTCTCATTAACTTTTTAATGGGATATTCGTTGTTGCTTTATTTGTTGATGTTATTCCTCCAGTGAATTTCACACTTGCAGATATAGAAATGCAAGCTCATTTCGTGTCATAATATATTTACCTACACATCCACCTGCTAGTGGGTCTGTTTCCCCTCTAAAGCTTGTTTTTTTGTGTTGTGTTGTTCTAAGGCAGAACTCTCATGTCGACCTTGAGCAATTATTGCTTATTAATACTGTAGCCATGGTTGCTATTTTGTTTTTATGTGTTTTTGTGCGTCTCGCTTCATTCCTGTTTCTTGGCCACTTGTTCTTGCTTTCCATGTTCGATTTGGCGCGCGCCATAAGTCGTTCATCAGCACATTTCGAATTAGAAACTATTTATTGAAATAATTAATTTAGGTGTACACGTGTCGATGTTTGTGTGAGGTGTACAACGAAGTCCAAATCAAATATTTTCCGCATGATAACAACAAAACGGGCACTCCAAAGTGCATGCGAGATTA